GAAGAGACATAGTTCTCTTTCCCTCCGGAAGCCAGAGAACACAAGCTTGGCGAGAACTCTAGGATTTAATAAGCAGATGGTAGAAGAGTTCCAAACAAATTTGGCAGATGTCTATTCAAAAGTTAAATTTGATCCTGACCGAATCTATAATTTAGACGAAACGGGCATAAAAACTGTTGTCCAAGCTCCCAATGTTGTCGCCAAAAAAGGTTTAAAGCAAGTTGGACAGGTTGTGTCAGGCGAGAGGGGTAATATGGTCACAATGTGTGTTGCTGTGAACGCCGCAGGTAATACTATACCTCCAGTCTTTATATTTCCGAAGAATGCACGATACCCTCATGGTTGGATCTTTAGCAGGGAGTTTGGGATTGGTTAATTCACCAACAAGTGGGTGGATAAATGGAACTCTATTTTTGAAAGTGCTACAACACTTTGCTAAACACACACAGTGTTCGAAGGAATCACCAGTTCTTTTATTAATGGACAATCATGAATCGCATTGCACGCTTGATGCAATTTTGTTTGCCAGAAAAAATGGCATTATTATCTTAACAATCCCTCCTCATTGCAGCCACCGTCTCCAGCCACTGGACGTATCCATTTTAGGACCCTTTAAGAGACAACTAGCTGTGGTACAAAATGACTGGCTAGTAAACAATCAAGGGAGAAAAATCACTATTCATGACTTGGCGGCCCATGCATCACAAGCCTTTGACTTAGCATTCACTCGTAAAAATATCACAGAAGGTTTTAAAAAATGTGGAATTTTTCCTTTCTCAACCACAGTGTTCACAGACGAAGATTTCGTGACAGTAACAACAGAAATAAGTAGGCCTAGGCCTGAAGATTCGCCAGTAACTGAAAGTGTAACAGTTACGCCTACCAATCAACAGCAGGTTGACTTAAACAGAGCTAATCCTCAGCCTACTCCGTCTACCAGCAATAATGAACTTAATTCCGCTCAGAGCTCTCCAGGACTGAAATCTGCTTTGCTTTTTTCATACCTAAAACAACAGTGTCTCCTGGACCTGAAGTTGTGCGGCCTTTACCAACACTGTCAACATTAACTCTTACAAAAACAGGCAAGATTTCTAAAAGAGAGAAAGGGAAATCTCGAGTCTTAACCTGTACGCCAGAAAAAAACCGAATAGAGCAGGAGGCAGCAAGAAAAGAAGAAATGAAAAAGCTAAAAGAAGAAAAGAAAATGGCACGAGAGAAAGCAATTAAGAGGAAACTTGAAATGCCTAAAGGAAAATGGGGGTTAAATTCTAAACAAAAATCCAAGAAATATGAGAGTGATTCAGCAAGTGAAAATGAAGATGATATTTTTTACATGGAAAGTGAAGATTCTTCAAGAGATGATGTGTTTTCTGATGTCGATTCAGAACCTGATCTCCAAGACATGAAATCAAAGATTAATCCTTTGCTGGAACATTATTATGCTGTGTTTTATGACTTGACGTGGTACATTGGAAGGGTTATTGACTTTCCAGATGAGGGATTTGTTAAAATGAAGTTTTTATTTCGAGGGCTTGGCGAATTGTACTACGAATGGCCTAAACATGACGACATTCAAGTAATTGAAAATAAGTATGTATTTTATGGCCCCATTAGACTAACAGGTTCCGGACCATTCCAGATCGACGACAAGTGCAAGAGAAGAATTACAATGAAATATTTTTATATTATTATAAAATTATATGGTATCACTTAAAAAAATAAGTGTTTTCAATTGACCAGACTTAGGAACCAATGTTTGTGGTTTTATTAAAAACTATTTGTTACTTTAATTAATGTGAATTAAGTAGCCTTTATAACTATGCCATTTTTATAGTTGAAATTACATAATAAAGTGTGTGTTCAAAACTACCCCTGGTTTGTTCAAATCTGCCCCCGGGATGTTCAAAGGTACCCCCAGGTGGGGTACATTTGAACACTTTGCAAGGGTTAAAAAATTATTTTTTTTCCCTTAGAAAATATTATTATATTTATTTGTACAACCAATATTAGATGTATGAAACCTTGAACTATATGTACAACCAGTTGTTGATGTCAAATAACCTTTTTTAAAAAATACAAAAAAAAAAAATTCTGAAAACCGTTCAAATGTATCCCCCTCTCCCCTACTTAATTCAAGCAACCAACTTTTGAAAATAAACGTTGAGAATTGTGATTTTCAAGAGAGAGAAAACTGTGGACTTGGCTAATTTGAAATTCTATAGTTCAAAATTGTCATTTCAGTTTATTTACACAGCTTTACATTGTTTTATAAGTTAAAAATACATTTGCAGCTTATTATTAACCGCGCCGAACTATCCGAATCCGAAAATATCCTAATCCGAACCTCCCAATATCCGATCCGATCCGAACCGAGCCTCAACTATCCGATCCGAAATGAAATTTCACTATCCGCACACCTCTAATATATATGTGTCCGTTAGCACGATAACTCAAGCAAAAATGATCCGATTTCGATGAAATTTGGTACAAACGTGTAAACCTACGTTTATTTGAACGAGTTCGCGATGCAGCATGATCGGACCATGGGAACGAGAGTTTACGGGGGGTTTTATGGGGTAAAAATAAGTTTTTCCCATTTTTGACCCAAAAAACATAAAATTTAGCAATTTCTTTCCAAACCATTTTGTAGAGCTTAAAAAAACAAATAACTTAGTATATTGAAGCGTTATTATGCGCCTAATGGTTACGGAGAAAATTCCAAAAAAATTTTAAATTTTAAATTCCAATGTTATTCTTATGGAGAATAAGTAAACTGTTGTAGTTTGCTTGTTTATGAACATATTTTGATCAAATTTGTAAAATGTTTTTATTTCTTACTAACTATTAACATTTTACAAAAATAAAACAGTTTTACCCTCCCTGATGCAGCAAACCTAAGTACTTGTTAAACTAATTCTATTTAAATAGGGAACAAATGTTGTATTTTTAAGCAGACATTTCATTGTAAATCCAATCAGTCAAATGGAAATTCGCTTAGACTGCAGGTTTGCAGGGTATATATCTTATTCATATATCTTATTTACAGCTTGGGAATCTGGGAATCACCTCAACTGCAAGAAAGAAGAAAATAACATTTTCATAACTGTTGAAATAACTAAATAGCTAAATTATAACACGTTTTAAATGGAACTTAATCATCATAAACTTTAGCCCTAAGATCATAAACAAATCAATTAAAAAATGCAAATTTTAGGGCCTGTTTACTGGCTTCAAGACTGAAAGCAAGAAGAAAATAAAAAATTCTATGTTTCCACCATGCAATATGTATCATTCATTCCCTGCTTCCTAACCTCCTAAGTATAAAAAAACCTCACAATGCAATACCATTATTAATAATATCATCATAAATAGGCCTACAGCTTTACATAAGAATTATTTTTATAGGGCCTAAAATAGTAATAGGCTAAGCAACATGACAAGAGGAGAACTCATTGAAGAAAAGATGTGATAATTTAAAAAACATTACCAATCCAAATAAATTTAAAAAAGAATGTAAAAACTGGTTGCTAACCAAAACATTTTATTCTTTAAATGAATTTTTAAGTGGAAATTGGTAGGATGTTAAGTATTAAAATTATTTTGTTTTAAATTGAATATTATTATTTAGCTTTAAGTATTATAATGTAATTGACAAATGTCCTGTCATTTTGTGATGTAATGGCATTCTGTAAATAAATAAATAAAATAAATAGAACACCACCAAGTAGAAGAAATAGAGATTTAAAAAAAACATTTACTATCGTTATCATCTATATATATAAAAGGCAAAGCCCTCACCGAGCAATAGCATTAAAGTTACAAGGATTATTAACAGGGTGCAGCACTATTATTTTTTTAATTTACGACAACAGCTAATTTGCAACCAAAAGGTGAGTGAGCGTAGCGAACGAACTTCAACCTGGAGGCGAGTTAGCGTAGCGAACAAACTTCAACCAGGGCGTGATTGAGCCATGCGAACGAGCTCACTTATGAAGTAAAACGGGGCAAAGCCCGCGGGTACAGCTAGTCCTATATAATGAAGAACACTACATACAATATGAAGATTCCCACAAACAACGAACAAGTATGTTAGCCGAAGTGTTACTATTTTGTAGAAAACTCGGACTTAACATTATGATGATTGGCAAAGGAAAACACTCTAAGGCTGAATTAAACTGGTATGGCAAGGACATTAAATATATGTTTTCATAAAAGTCAAGTGATTTTAAAATAATATGACTACATACAAGAAACCTTAATAAAACTTTCACTGAAGGATTTGCATTATTCACATTTAAGGGAAACAAAATCTGAACAACAATGATGGGCCTTTCAATTCTGCATTTTATTCAAGTAAGTATAACTTACGTTATAACAGTAACTAGCCCAATTATTGCCAATTGAAGCAAATAAAATTGTGACAGAGAGGTTAAGCATAACATCAGGCAGTTCTTAAGTAATGTAAACAAAATGTTATCGCTATAAAAAATCACTAAAATTTGTAAACGTACTGGCGACAACGGATAGTACTATGCAGACTACATTATCATTGACGAAGATCAACATGGACAACCTAATGTGGCTACAAGTGGGAAAGATTTGTGGAATACACTAAAAACCCAGATCAGCTTTTGAAAAATGATAAAATATTTACAAGAAATGTTTATTATATTGTCCTGTTAGGTACATAATCTATGAGTGGAGTCTTTTAAACTCATAGGAAATTATGACTTTTATTCGTTTTTAAATAAGTTATTTGTTTTTAAATACTGTAACTACTTTACTTCTTTGCAATTGCTCGATTTCGAGCAACATGTACACTAGTACTCATTAGATTAGTTTTGATACATTTTTTGACACATTCAATGTGCTATGTTATGTAAAACAATGAATAAAGCATGTTTGACTTTGACAATTGTAATAATCATAACAACATAACATAAACAAGAGTAAAAACACATAACTACAATAAAATGGTAAACATGCATTTAACTGTATACCTGGTGAAGCAGCACTATCGTCAGATTCAGGCATCGGCACAAAGTCGTCATCCATCTCGCTCATGTTACTAGAGGCTTGAGCTTCTTCTTCTCTCACACTTTCATGCTCTGGCTCTTCTTCCACCGAACTCGGCTCAGGACTAATTGTTTTATTTCCATTCCCTCCTGTATATATAACAAATTGTTAAATATTAGGCAATAAGACCTTATTATTTTTTTAGTACCTTACGAGAGCATGTACATGTAAATAAAACATGTGTTTGCAATTGTTTTGATTTTCTGTTAATTTTTTGTTGTTATTTTGTCACCAACATCGACCCAGGCCTAGACCTTATTATTTAGGAGGGTATATATTAATGTTATTGGAAAATTTGGTAAGATTTCTTATATTATCAAATACAAAATTTAAAATTAATCCAAACAAAAATGGCGGTTTCCACTACTTATGTGATTTGAAAGCCATAAACGTTTATCAAATAAAGTGGTATGGTTGAATTTTATTTCTAAAAGTGTTTAGTTTTTTTATACAACGTAAAAATTTTAAGATTAAATTTTTCTATTTCATCTTGTTACGGGTAGGACAGGTAGTAAAATATATAACTCATAAAAATGCTGTTGTTATCAATAAGTGATGATAAAAGTTTGCTAATACGCTACATAATGCTTAGTAGTCTCTAACGGGGTGATTAGTAACCATGGCAACTTGTTGAATGCATGAATGAAGGGAAACCCAGGAAAGAATAAAAGAATAATGAGTTGTATGTTGTTATCATTATGAGTTATCTAATGTTTAATAGGTTTACAAAATAATTGTTTTCAACTACAACAGTTTATAATTATGCTTCTCTTCTGAAACAACACAACCAGATGCGTAGGCCTAATAAAGGCCAATGACCTAAATATCATGATTGTGGAATTTTTTATTTTGATGTAAAAATGCAAATAACGGCAATAATTTGAATATATTTGTAGTTTATTCGAATCTGAAGTCAAATCGGAAATACAACTTTGTATCATTGTCCTGCTATTAGAATCCCCAGCCAGCCCTCTAGTCTAAATATAGCTCAAGGTTGCACCCTCCCCTCACCCCTCGCCTTCTCCATTCACAGTGGCCCGCTCCTTTCGATGTCATTGCCCAACCCCTCGCACCCTTCTTTTGTTTTGCTTTTGTAGTACTTCTAATCTGACTTTTTTTAACATTAAATTAAATAAATCATGGAAGTCGTAAAGGAATGAAAGTGATAAAACTTTAATGAGCTAAACTACAGACTCAACGAGTTCTTGGAAGTGAATAAAATACTGTACCGAACCCGAACCGATGACGGTAATTAGGCCAGAACAGTACCGTCCCAACTTTATCGGTGCACTGCAGACCCCTAGCTGAAACCTAGGTTGCAGAAAACAACTACTTAATTTGAACTGAATGACTGATGTTATTTAAACCATTATCAGCACCTTAGCTTGCACATAGTAAACATACAGAGTGTGCATGAAATGATCAGTTGTAGAGTTGTCTCTGTTGCTCACCTTGGAGCATGTCCTGCAACAGACAGGTGATGGCGTGGCACACCCAGGGCGTGGAGTGTTGACTAGAGTTGACAGCCAGTCTCACAAGACCTGACAGTTGGTCCTCACTTATCACCTCTCCTATGGTCAAACTAGGCCTGGTCCACAGTGTCACTCTGGCTAGAACCTGCCAACAACACTTCACTGTCACATCACGAGGGACAAACTATCCTGTTGTGGAGGTGGCTAATAGATGTTAATCAATGAATATGTAAAATGGAAAATCCCTGTCAGATTATACATTCAGCTTCTAGTGATGTGTGGATACCAAAATTTATTGATTCCCAATACTAATACTTTTTCAACTCTACATAATTTTCTGTATGGATTTGTTATACTACAACAACCCATGTCTTTATGTCCTTCCATAAGTGATTTTGGGTTGATAAAGTGTTTTTCCAGTAAATAAAATACCTATTGATGCAGTGAAAAAAAATTCTAAAAACCAATTTAAGCTTAAACACATGAAATAAACACCATGACAAAAGTTAAATAAGATATTACAAAAAATACCAAAAGGAAAATGTTATTATAACTAGAGGTGTGCCAGATTGAGATTTTCAAGCCAAACGCAAGGTAATACCGTGCCCGTGATCATCTCCTGCGGTCATGGAGACATCATAATCATCTTCAGCAACCACTGCAAAATTTTGAGCATCTTCAATTTGCGTTCCCGGCAAAATTCTGATCGTCTACCGCGCGGTCAGGTAGAAAACGTTATTGTCTCCCGCGGTCATGAGATATCGTCATCATAGTCTTCTGCGATCGAGGAAAAAATCTTACTATCACCCGCGGTCGTGTAGACATCATTATCTACTTGTGTAATCATCTGTCCCGAGATCGTGGCAAAATCATGAGCTCCCATGGTCATGTGGGCATTTATTATCTTCTTCTTCCGCGATCGAATAAATATTCTGATCATCTCCAGCGGCCATGTGGATATCACTATCATCTTCCGCGGTCCTAGGTCACGTCCTGTTAGGGTCGGTTAAAAGGGGGTCTACTGTACTAATGTCCAAGTATTGGTGGTACCGAGAATTGACACATATTTACATAAAACCTACGTAAATGGTATTGATACAAATGAATTTATTGATTAAAGAATTTACAAAACATTTGAGACTGGCCAGAATGACTTACTTTGCAGGTGAGCAGAAATGTATCAAGGTTACAAGTGTAGTCCATGTGTAGGAGCAGGGCAGTGAGTGCCCTAGCTACAGGCAGACAGTGAGCTCTGGGAAGTAATGGGACGTTGTTCTCACTAGCAACATGCTTGCTGCCACTACTAGACCCTGCATCATCCTTGGACCTGCGACTCTCTGATACACTCTCTTTCATCTACAACAACAATCAAATAAACACAATCAGGTTATAATTAATCCCTGATCAATTATATGATTCATATACGTACCATCAATATCTCAACAGAACCTAACAACGTCCATTCTTCACATAGCTTGACTTGGGAATAAATACTTCACTTTTAAAAGTATAGTGGCTAAAATATCACATCCCGAGTCCAACTCCTATTAATCACACCAAGTCATTCTTTTGGTTGTGCATCTTCTGAATCTTAACCCATTGGGGAAGGAATTAATGCGCTGCCTGCAGGACCCTCGGGCAGCAATTAATTTTACCGAATTTGTAGACTTTTACTCTTAGTGTTATGGAAATAAAACCTTAGGGAATAAATAAATAATTCTTTTACAATTTGTTTTCACAGTAAAATTGTCTACAAGAAAATGGTGATTTGATAATCAAAGTGTAAAATAAAAAATAAAAAAAATTATAAAAATCATAAAATAAAAATTTAAAAAATTATTTTTTTAACGTAAACTTGATTTACAAATTCCAAGATTAATCTAGACACCAAATGACACTTCTGTTATAAATTTCAATTGATTCCCTACGTAGGATAATCACAAGTTGTTTACTATTATGGGTAATAACATAGAAAAAATTGTTGTTTTACCCTCCCCCAGCTGATTTTGGGTGATATCTGGTTTCCATGGCAACAAAACCTTGTTTGTTATTCGCAACAAATGAGTAAATATGCAAAACAAGAAGCAAGATATTTATAAACATCATAAAATTAAGAAGAAACAAAATGGGGAAAAAATAATAATAATTAAATAACTAGTGGTGTTGCGTAGTGGTGACACGAGCGGCACTCGTAAGTCAGCCGCCAGTCCTGCAGCGGCCGTACGAGTAACGCTTGTAAGTTGGCTTCAATGGGTTAAAACATCGTAATTATATAAACCCTACTTAATCTGTAAACTTACAGATGGTTATAAATAAGGGTTTTAACATATGGAAACGTTTAGAAAATAACTTAACTGATGTATACAGGGTGATTGATATAAGTGTGCCACCCGTTTTATTAAAAAACCATAAGAGATATAAAAAAAAGTTAAATGGTAAGTGCCTTGGGTTTTTTATTTTAAAAATTGTAGTCAAGTCGAAAAAATTATTTTAGCCACCATTTTTCCAATATGGCCGCCAACTTGGATTTTTCTTATGGAACGTATTTTATGATGTATTCCGGTAGAAAATGTAATTTTAAGACAATTTTATTCTTGTGATTTTTTCCATAAACCTAACCGTTTCAAAGATAATAATGGTTTAAGTTGTGAAATTTCGAAGAGTTTTTGAATAAAACAACCGGCATGCTTGCTTAGGCCTTTATCGTAACTCTTTCTCATGCCGAAATTTCAAAACTTTAACCATTATTACCTTTGAATCGGTTAGGTTTATGAAAAAAATCACAAGAATGAAATCATCTTTTACAATTACTTTTTCTACCGGAATACATCATAAAATACAGGGTGTTCCATAAGAAAAATCAATTTTGGCAGCAATATAGGAAAATGGCGGCTGAAATAATTTTTTCAACTTGACTACAATTTTTTAAATAGAAAATCCAAGGCACTTACCATTTAACTTTTTTTGATATCTCTTATAGTTTTCGAATAAAACGGCTGGCAAACTTATATCAATCACCCTGTATATAATATATATTTAAAACAATTTAAAGATTCAAGATTTGTATTGGTCATTAGATATACAAAGATAATGCACTGGACTGGACATTGTTAGTTATTACATCTAAATATATACAAGTATAATTCAAGATTCAGGATTTGCATCTGTCACTAGGCATATAAAGATAACGCACTGTGCATTGTCTTGTCATTTATTAAAATATCTAAATATACAGGGTTAATAAAAAGCCTGGAGACCCCCTGTTAATCTTCTAACGGCCCATACTAGAAAAATAAACTCTGCACACCTTTATGGCATGGTATAAAGTACTTTTTGGGCATAACCACCACTTCCTGTACATCCCCAAGATGGAGGATTTTGGGGGAGTAAAATATGACAGTCAATGGAAATCTTTAGAAATAAGAATTAACTTAATTTCACTTCTGAGGATTACAATTGACTGCCATGTTTTACTGGGTTGAGATAGAAACCTCTAATTTGCGTTGATAGTTTTCTTTTATCACGACCTTCAAAATGAGGGGTCACTCGATGGGGCTTAACATTTAAAATCTTTGAGTTTCCTCCAAAATCCCCTATTTTGGGTTTGCGTCAAAATCCCCTATTTTGGGTTTGCGCCAAAATCCCCTATTTTGGGTTTGCGAACAAAGTAGCTATAAGGCTAAAAAAGTACTTCATAACATGCCTTAAAGGTGTGTAGAGTTTAGTTTTTCTAGTGAGAGCCGTTACAAAATTCACTGGGGGTCTCCAGACTTGGAAAGCTGTAAGTTAAATTTAATTTCTGAGAATTTCAATTGACTGCCATTTTATACTGGGTTGAGATAGAGACCCCTAGTTTGTGTTGTTAGTTTTCTTTTATTAGGACCTCCAAAATGAGGTGTCACTCGGTGGGTCTTACCATTTAAAATTTTTGAGTTTGCCCCAAAATCCCCCATTTAATATGAAGTAGCAGTTATGCCCATAAGGAACTTCATAACATGCCATAAAGGTGTGCAGAGTTTAGTTTTTCTAGTATGGACCGTAAAAAAATTGACAGGGGGTCTCCAGACTTTTTAATAGCCCTGTATAGACAATATTTCAAGAATCAAGATATTTATTCGTCACCAGGCATAAAAAGATGATGCATTTTCAATTGTCAGTTATTAATTTTAATATATAAATCTGTATATAAAATTAAAGATTATGATGCAAAGAGAGGACAGTGCACAAATTATCTTAATTAGAAGAACAAAAAGGAAAGGTAATGATTACATTCTATAATTACTCTAAAACACTAAAAATTACTACCTAAATTTAATTTAAACATGATTAAATCATGTTATAAAACTGAATAAAATATGGAACAAAAACCAATAATATACTAGAAAAAGGGTAAAAATATAAACAATTTAAAAATAAAAAATAATTTCAAACAATAATTTTAAATTTGCAACAATAATTTCAAATTTATAACAATTAAAACAATACCAAAATCAATAACTACTTACGCTAAATATACTGTGATTTTAATAAAAGCAATAGAGGAGACAACATTCACACCTTTAAGAAAGCAATATGTTCAAATGAAATAAAATATTTATTTATTCATAGGCCTAATATGTACAACTGTACAATGAATGGTGTCAGATCTTATGTCTAAGAAATAAAACTAAGTACATTAATCAGCTTGGTTACAATTACACCTAATAACAACAAAACAACACTATTAACTTTATTTAGTGTTCTCAATCATAAAAGCCTTTAAATTTTTGTGAGTTTCTTCATTTTAGTCTCGTTATTAAAACTTTACGACAATCTATTGAAGAATTTGGCACCCTTATAATATGTGATCTTTTGCCTCTCCCTTCAAAATTAATTGTTTAATATCATACTTGAATCAAACCAGGTAATTTATTTTTCATTCCACATAAAAATGTAGTAAAACTTCTTTCAGTCGCACTTTTAACTGAAACCTGGGTAAACCAAAACTATAACAAGATTAAAATCAATTAGAAAATTATGTAAAGGTAGTTTGCCAGGCTAAGTCACTGGAATGTAATAGGTTATACAGAATCGTCCCATTTAATTCAGTTGATCCGGGTTTTCCTGAATTATGACATTTTATTGTTGTTGATTAACCTACCTTGGACGTTGAAGCCTGCTGCTTCACTGATTTTTTCAGAAATTGTTCCTGTTGCTTGAGGGCGTTTTCTAACTTGTATGAGAGCTTTGCAGCTTGGGTCGACAGAGCTGACAAAGCCTGGAAAAATCCATGTAAAAGAGTAACCTTAAACAGCGTTTTGGGCAACCTTGTGAAATTTGTCTCCTTAAATCGGTAAAGTATAGGCCTATGGCTCTTGAATGCTGGATATTAATTTTACGTGTTTTACTTGTAGCTTCCATTTTTGAGCAAAGGATTGGATGTAGATATTTTCAATGCTTTCTGACTAAATATTTAAGTTCTTCAAATGCATTTGAATGTTTCTTGATCTTTACTTGAGTAGATATTGGGCAGACATCTTGTCTCAGCCTTAACATGATGTTGAGAGTTCTAAAGCAGTTTCTGTTAGAACCACGAGGTTTAAAATTTGTATAAGCAATAACAGATCACTATTGACAACATCAAGAGGTTAGATAATAAGGTTTTCCTTCAATCTATATGAAGGCTATACTAATAATGATGTCTATGTGTCTAAGATAAATTTTTGGTACCATCGGTTTGTGGGAAAACTCTGGTACCAAGAATCAACATAAAAATCTTAGTACCATTACTTTGGTACCAACAGGGCACGGGCCTACTGGCTGCATGGTCTGATGTCATCTAAGCGCTGCCGAATCGGACAAACTATGGATGCAGCGATCTATGCTGTGGTTGTTAAGGTGAAGCAATGCCCTTTCATCCTATGTTTTCTGGCTGCAGGAGGGGCGGCTGTTGGGTATTGCCTAGGTAGGACTGGCGTGAATGTAAATTTGCCGCTCGGTACTCTTATTTTTTATTTGAAAACGTTAGTCATAAGTCAAGGCCAAAACTCGAGATTGACAAAAAATGTGAGACAACAGTTGAACAAATCTGAACAATTCCCAGTTTAACATGGAGATTTGATGATTTGAGATTGATTTTTATCCCCAAACTTCCATAACTTTTGAAGACAAAGAGGAAGGAACCCTATTACCATGTTTTATTTTACAACTATTTAGAAGTATACGAATCTGACATTTTTGATCGAGTCAAGCTTTAGAAAAAGGTAAAATATAGAGCTTTTTGGAAGCCGAGCTTTTTGATATAATTAGTTTGGCGTAAGGCCATATCCTAAATAATTTTTGGACAAATCTTCTTTCAAAATAATTTAATGCTATGGTAGATTTTGACAAGCAGTATTAAATTTAATTAATCTTAAATTTAGTGTAATGTGCATTTGTCACAATTGGGAATGTGTGGAGTCTCGATACCGATACTAGATACCACCGATACTTGGCCGTTTGAATCGTCAAAAGTCGATTCCGATACCCGTCACACCAGCGCGATCAGAAAATTACCACTTTTGCCACTAACGCGCAAGACAACGACGAAGTTTCTGTAACTGACGGAGACGATGATGACGTCTACACGCCTCAGTAAATGTTCCATGATTTTGCTGTGATCGCAGATGACGATGATGTCTACACTGCTGCTAAAGATGTTTAAAATTTGTCTGTGATCGCAAAAGACGATTAAGATAATGTCTACATTGCCACAGCATGGTGTCTACTAAACCTGGTTTAAAAAATTCAAGGAGTTTTCCAGGAGAATTCAAGACAAATTCCTGAATTTTAAGAACTACTATCGGAACCCGTTAAACTAATCGCAACCCGCTAATAATAATTTATTATTACTATTAATGATTATTTTAATTTAAAACAAAACTATTCCAAAGAAAAATATTTTATACAACATAATAAAACAGTATAACTAATAGGTAAGGCGACACAAGCTATCATCTCCTGCGATCGTGGGAATACCGGTGAGCATATCTTGCAGTCTCGTCAACACAGGCAACCGATCGCGGCAAAACAGGTTCGCATATTTTATTATTTCAGCGACACAGATAATCGTCTCCCACGATCGCAGGAATACCCAAGAGCATATCCTGCGGTTTCGGCAACACCGATTATCGTCTCCCGCGATCGCGGCAAGACCCGTGAGCATATCCTGCGGTTTCGGCAACACCGATAATCGTCTACCGCGATCGCGGCAATACCCGTGAGCATATCCTGCGGTTTCGGCGACACCGATAATCGTCTCCCGCGATCGTGGCAATACCCGAGACCATATATCGCGGTTTCGGCAACACCGATAATCGTCTACCGCGATCGCGGCAATACCCGTGAGCATATCCTGCGGTTTCGGCGACACCGATAATCGTCTCTCGCGATCGCAGGCAAGACCCATGAGCATATCCTGCGGTTTCGGCGACACCGATAATCGTCTCTCGCGATCGCGGCAATACCCGTGAGCATATCCTGCGGTTTCGGCAACACCGATAATCGTTTTCCGCGATCACGGCAATACCCGTGAGCATATCCTGCGGTTTCGGCAACACCGATAATCGTCTTCCGCGATCGCGGCAATACCCGTGAGCATATCCTGCGGTTTCGGCAACACCGATAATCGTCTCCCGCGATCGCGGCAATACCCGTGAGCATATCCTGCAATACCCGTGAGCATATCCTGCGGTTTCGGCGACACCGATAATCGTCTCCCGCGATCGCGGCAATACCCGTGAGCATATCCTGCAATACCCGTGAGCATATCCTGCGGTTTCGGCGACACCGATAACCGTCTCCCGCGATCGTGGCAATACCCGAGACCATATATCGCGGTTTCGGCAACACCGATAATCGTCTACCGCGATCGCGGCAATACCCGAGAAAATATATCGCGGTTTCGGCAACACCGATAATCGTCTACCGCGATCGCGGCAATACCCGAGACCATATATCGCGGTTTCGGCAACACCGATAACCGTCTCCCGCGATCGTGGCAATACCCGAGACCATATATCGCGGTTTCGGCAACACCGATAATCGTCTCCCGCGATCGCGGCAATACCCGTGAGCATATCCTGCGGTTTCGGCGACACCGATAATCGTCTCTCGCGATCGCGGCAATACCCGTGAGGATATCTTGCCGTTTCGGCGACACCGATAATCGTCTCTCGCGATCGCGGCAATACCCGTGAGGATATCTTGCCGTTTCGGCGACACCGATAATCGTCTCCCGCGATTTTGGCAACAAAAGCAATAGTGTTTGGTTAGCTGACGATTCCGATGACCGGGTTGTGGATTCCCGGAGGTTCGGGTGGATTCCTGGAGTTTTCCAGGACATTTCAAGGAAAGATAAAATTCCCGGAGTTTTCCCGGTTTTCCCGAATTTCCCGGAGAGTAGACACCATGCACAGATGATGTTCTTGATTTTGCCGGGATTGCGGAGGACGACAATGAAGTTTCTTTGACCAAGAGAAATAATGATTTCTAAACGGCCACAAATGATGTTAAATGGTTTTGCCGTGATCATGCAAGATGACGATGACGTTTCCGTGACCGTGGGAGTTGATGAAGATGTCTACTCGGCCGCAGCTATGTCAGGGTAGGATACCTGTATACACTTCTCTATAATATCATTTTCATTTTGATTTTATTGTTAGATCTTAAAATATCTTTAATATGGTAGTTTTTTTTATGTGTTTAGAAGGGTTTGAACTTAAATTGGCTAGTCGGATTGTATCATTGCAGCATACATTTTTTCTTTATTTGATCAACAACTCATTACTTATCGAAAAAATTTTGGTATCGACACATCACTAGTCACAATGTCTCAATGTTATCACAGTAATATCACAATCGTTTACTGTTGTCATTTGGACATTATCCCTGTCTCTAGTGAGCATGGAAAAATCCTATTTATCTCCCGTGGTCTCAGAAACATTACCATTCACTCCCGTGATCCCCGCAAAACCCAAAAAATATCTCCCATGGCCATGTAGAAATTATACCATCTTCTGCAATAAAGGAAAAATCCTGGACGACTCCTGCGGTCGTGTAGACATCATCATCGTGGTTGCGTAAACATTGTCATCTGCATTGACGGCAAAGTCCTGGATACATAATAAAGGAAATTTCCTGGACGACTCCTGTGGTCGTGTAGACATCATCATCGTGGTCGCGTAAGCATTGTCATCTGCATTGACGGCAAAGTCCTGGATACATCCCACGGCTATGTAGAAATCATCATCGTCTCTTGCGATCACGTAAACGTTATTGTCATTCCCGCCATCGCAACAAAATCCTGAACATCTCCAGAAATCATGTAGACATAGTTCTAGTCTCTCTTGATCGGGGAATAAACCAACCTACACAAATCCAACGGTCAAAGAAAAATTGTTATTGTTGTCCATGATTGCGGCAAAATTCTGGAAGTTGACTGAGGTTGTATAAACATAATGAATGTCTCTGCAATTTCAAAAAAAATATTGACTGTGTCCTGCGGTTGCGGGGAGATCACTGTATCCAGTAATTAGGGAAACTCAATCAAATCAGTGAATGTGACACGTTACTTGTTCAAATTAAGCGGACGTTTAGACTAGCAGGACTCAAGTATATTCCAAATGGTACAATAAAAACTATACATGTTAAAAAACAACAATATTATCAATGTAAAACAAAGGTCACCAGTATAAAGTAACGCAAAAAAGATGTAGAGAGAGATAGACTAATGTCAGAACCTTATTTATCTTGAAATGGCTAGTTTTATTGACTTGTTTTATTTTATACTCCCGTTTAAATGTTTAATTCTTTCTTCAACCATCCATGCTTTTTAAAAAATAATTTTATTAGATTACTTCAGTAATCGTTTTGGATTATTCAGACTATAATCTGTAATCAGAACACAATATTTAACAGATATCTTTTGATTTGTAGTCTGCTTGAATACCCACCCCTAAACTCATATACAGTGTGTAAATTAGGTCTTGAAACAAATCTGTATTTTTTTACCGAAATGGATAGAAATATTCTGTTTGTGGCGTTGATTGTTAACAAAGGTTCCATAACTTTTTACATAAATAATATTTTTTAACCCCCCTAAAAGGGTACTAACACCCTAACTAATACCCTAACAGGATGAGTGTTTTATTTAAAGTTGTGCTTAGATATTTCATACCTAGCCTAAATGGTGGGTATTCCAAAATTTGATTTATGTGAAAAAGAACCCATTTTGGAATACCTGCCATTTTGGCTAGGGGTGAGATATTCACCTCGGGTTTGCTTCATTGTGTTTCTTTTGACAAGCCCTTCAAAATGAGGAGCCACTCAATAGAGGTTGCTATTTGGAAAAAATGTCACCCCCTACCCCCTACCATGTTAAAGGGGTTAAACCATTTTTTTTGGTGTAAAAATTGCGGAACCTTTGTTAAGAATCAATGCTACAAACAGAATATTTCTATCTATTTTGGTTTTCAAAATACAGATTTGTTTCAAGACTTAATTTACACACTGTATAGTAAACCATTAAACCAGAATTCCTACAGTTACCTGACAAAGCAGTCTTCCTTTCACTGATTATAGCAAGCAAAGTAGCTAATTGCTACATTTACTTACTTTTGCCACACTCATTTTACTTTGCCGTACTCCAGTATTCCAACCAAACAATACAAAACAGTGTGCTTTTGTAAGGCACGTAATACATGTACGCTTGAAATAAAGTTGGCATCACTTAAAGATACTACGACTACGATTAGCTGGTGCAGTTTTTCACTGCCTTTGAGTATTGATACTACAACTTAAACCTGTTGTTTTGAGTTAACATTCTATTTTCGTTCAACGCTTGGATTTAACCTAATCTAAACCGTGTCGTTTAGTGTTTGAAAGACTAATTATTTATATGCTTTATAGTAACTGTAAAGCAGCGCCTTTGGTGCACTCGAGAAACTTTACTTGTTAACATTTCTATTATGTGCAGCAAAGTGCCACTTTGCCCACTAGTAACACAAATAATTATTGTCATACCTATAACCTACAACAGCTATTCATTATTCATTTAAGAAATATAATAGTAGGCCTTTGTAAACTAAATCTATTAAAAAGAGAAAAACAAGGTTTTTATCATACTGCTTTAAAACAACTGTTTTTGACACATGCATTGAGATTCAAAAGTTATTCTTTTTAATCTTTGGATGATAACACATGTTTTGATGATCATTATCATACTAGTACTAAAAAGATCATAGTTGATGATACTTTTGATTCGAGTTTGTCAAAAATCGATTAAAGTTCATTAGATTATAAATAATCGAAACATTCATTGTTGAACACTCATTGTTGTTTTGTTATTATTTGCGTTGAAGGATTGTATTGAAGGATTGCGTGAGTGACAACTGTGAGTGACACGATGGACAAAGTTAGTAGGCCTAATGATCAGTGGCGTAACAGATTTTTACAAGCTCCCCTGCAAACTTTTTTTGAGCGCCCCATCTCATGAGATATTTTTAGAACACCGATACAACATAATCAGCGCTCCCTCCCCCCAGAGTTATTTTTGGACCACCTTAAAAATGATCAAACAGATTAATCATAAATAGAGTAGTAAATAAATTACGGATTACGTTCCATAAAAGGGCGTGTTAAGTATTTCAGTCATGGTTTGATGAAAAAGTTCCCTACACCACTACATCATTATATCAATAACAGTGTTTGTAAATAATTTGTAAATAAAATAAAAATACCCAATTTATTCATCTGTATCAGAATGTTTATATCAAGGAGGTTTTACATTTAATTTATCACACATGTTATCCATTTTTACTATGTATATATATATTACTAGGCAAGCATGTTTCTTTAAAACCTTTTTTCTCAGTTTGTGTGCATCGCAGGAAAAATCAACACAAACTGTTGGAAAGATATAAGGCAAAAATGTGGTTCGGATTCCACTATAAACTGTAGGCCTCTTAGTTGCCATTGGCTGTTAATTAACAGCTGTGTCTAAGGAATATGTTGGCCTTAGTCACTTGCAAGACTACAAGGTACGCCACTCATCCTACACCCATCTCCATTCATACTTGGCTTAAAATACCTACATTCGTATGGTCGCCATTTCAAAGTAAAGTATTAAAGTATTTATTTATCAGGTTAGTTTAATCTTTAGTTATAATTAACTCATACACTAAAAGTAAGTTAATTTAAAAGATTGACATACTTTTATTACAGGCTTAAATAGCCTATTGCATTATTTATTTTATCTTTGTATGGATTTCAAGCGTTTACCTTACTAACATATGTCTTTATTATTGGTTAATTGTGAGGAAAATTAAGATATAGGCTAACAAACACAGTCAGTAGAGTAGCAATATATTGTATTTAATGAAATACGATCAATATTAGGGCAAAACTAAAATTTAGAATAATACAATATTAAAAGCCAAAGCCAACGTTCATGGCTCCAGCTCCAGGTAAAATTGATGTTTCAAAATGTTTGCAAACGACATAAGCAGTGTACGAAATCACCGAGAAGTAAAATACTGCCTGGTGACGAAAGTAAGATTGCATAACAATCAATGACCCACGTTTAAAACATTAAATTTATTACCTTAGTTTGTCATCACTGAAGAGGCGAAATTAAACGATTAAATTAACAAAATTAAACGATAACAATATGAATATATTATTAATAACTTTAATGTTATTACTTGTTTGATACAATTGAATAATTAATAATACATTTAAATAAGAATGAACTCCAATTTTCAACCCTACTGATTATATTACCCAACAATAATATACCAAAGTACAAAACCTTACCCATCATAAACTATAACCAGTAGGAAAAAACATAAAAAAGGGTTCCTTAAAAAAAAATAGAAAAAAAGGGTGTTAAAAAAAAGGGGTGTTTCCTTTATATGTCTTATGTCATATGTCACGGGCCTCTCTGCTCGCCGTTTCCCGCTCACCGGTTCGCGGGCCCCCTCAGCTCCCAGGCCCCCCCCCCCCCCCCCCGTATTGTGGGCCCTTCTGTTTGTTTTTATTTAAATCTTAAGGTTTATGTGAGTATGATAAAAATATAGTTCTTCACTCGGATCAAGACATGCTCATTTTTCAGCCCTGGCAGTTAAACTGAAACTGGTATTAAAAAGATCCACTTTTGATTCTAGTGACGAAATATACTATTATTTCACATTGTTAACAGATTGTTTCATATTGTGAGCACTTAATAATGTGAAATTAAAATTCTTCTTTTTAACAGATTTAGTTTAAATACTATTATGTTCCGTTAATAAATAATGAACAGCTGTTGTAGGTTATGAGTATAGCAAGGGGCACAATGTTAAATCAAAATAATAAAAAATAATAAAGTGTACCTTTGTTTTAAGGCCATGAGGCAAGCCACTGACCTGAGTGGATGCCTGGAAGGCCTTCTTAGCCACTTCAAGATCCTCTAGCTGCTGCTTGTGGTGCATCAGTTTCTTCTGCAGCTTGCGACGGTATCCACGCCCTGCAGTACAGTGGCCCACTACACTCATACGACGCTGCATGGACAACTCTCCTTGCAGGAAGTCCCATCTACCTGCTGACAACACACTCTTGTCAAATCCATAATACTTTGATTTAAACATTGACTGAAGAAGATAACATACTGAAGTAGATAACACATCTATATGGACCAGCTGTCCCCAATTTTATATTGAAAAAGAGAATAATAGAATGTGCTAGTGTCTAAAAATCAATTTTGTGCCTTATATTTTTTTGCTGACATGTTTGATGGATGGGTCATAACAGTTGCTATAGCTCACAATAAGTCGTTCCACCAGTTTGACTTGGTAAAAAAGTATTCAACAGAAATAAGTAATTAGATCAGCGGAATCTGTCGGTGGCTCCATAAACTACGCCAGTTTTGATTAAAAACTAGCAACAACTTCAATATGGGGATGGAAAGTCTAGTTGTATCAATAGTCAAAGATTAAATCATTATTCACATCATTTCAGAGTGAAACACAAAAATTTTACTTTGCTGGCAAATAATTCTTACCTGACATTTCTTTGTCAGTTTTAGATTTGTCCTGAGTTTCTTCACTTGAATTTGGTGTGGAGTCTAGGCACTGGGACAAGAAGAGCAATAGCCAGCTGATGAGAGGTAGATCCATGTTAGACTGCAGGAACCCCGGAGAAAGATTGGTGAGAGCCAAGGGAGTGAGCTGCATCAGTAGAGTCTTGAGCACAGAGTCTATCACAGTGCTGCGACTAGCACCTCCACACAGTGACTTGCGACCCAGGTATACCAGCAGAATGAACACTCTGAACATTAGTATTATCAGTCTAACTAGTTAAGTATCGAGTAACATTTTTTTTAGTGTGTTATTTTTAGAATGATTTTGTAGTGACTTGTTTTGGTTAAATTTACAGTAGTAAAACATGTCTCACACTGCTTACACCAAACAACTTCTCATCATTTGTCATGTCAAAGCAAAAAACTTTAACAATTAAAGTGCATGTAAAGAATTAATTAAAAATAACAACGCCGGGAAACGCAACAACAACGCGCTCCTGTATTGCGGGTATTGCATTGACTTTCTGCAGGCGTTTTAAAAGTTTTTTCCCTTCATTTTTATAATCTTGTCTCATATGTCACATTTAGCTACACGGGGACTACAACACAAAGGACTGCTAACAGATTCAAGAAATACCGAGTTTCAATAGCCTACAGGATAAGTAAAATATTGCATAAAAAAATAGAAGATTGTAACAAATTTGACGCTTCGGGCATCTATAAAATCAATTGTAACGATTGTGATAACTTCTACATTGGACAGACTGTGAACTTCATCAACTGCTTTAAAAACTACATATCTGCATGGAGGAACAACAAACCGGAAATATCAAATATCGCACACCTGTTACAAAATGGCCACTCGATATGAAAAATGGAGGATAATCTATGTATTTTAAAGAATTGTAAGAAAGGATATGTAATGAATGCTTGGGAAGAATTGTATCTTTATAAAGAAAAAAGTAAAAATAGAAATAAGCTGATTAACGAACAAGTAAAGTTCGACTCCAGTTGTACTTATAAAAATGTATTGGCCGGTGCTTCCGGTAGCCAATAGGATATAAGTAGGGACGCCAGTTGTACTTATAATAATGTATTGTCCGGTGCTTCCGGTAGCCAATAGGATATAAGTAGGGACGCCATTCAAGATTCTTGTTATTCGCCTATTGGGTCTAATGATGATTGGAGTGTCCAATCAAAATCGATCACCACTTACCATCTTTTTTGTATATTTACCGTCTTGTGAGTAACAGTATAAGCGTAAATATATGTTTTAAGTGTTATAAGATGTTTCTTTTATTTACTTTCCGCAAAATAAAATATCATCTCGTAAAAACAGATTTCTCAAAAATTTCGAGACTCGTCCATGTCTACCGATAGGCGATGGCACGGTTGGATTGAGCGAAGAATCAGACTAGCCGAGTTGGGATTGGTGGGGTTCTACTGTAGTATTATCTTTAGTACACAGTGACTTACACCCCTGATGTACCAGCAGGATGAACACTCTGAAATAATGTAAAACCTTACATAATACCTCTGTCCGTCTTCAGTCTTAAAAATAGTCTGGGGATGACTAGTTTTGGGTCAAAGACCCATTATCAAATACGCATCAAACTGAATAGTCCATAATCCGACGGAAGTCTTTATCAATACATATATACAGGTCAACACATAAAGTTCATATTTACACACGGATACATTTAAAAAGGTGTTGGCCGGCCACATTCATTCAGACACGAGACAAACCGACACAGGTTGTATGGCGGGGACACAACGGGACTATCCATTGTCCAGCCGGTGACATTGACCTGGGGGGGGGGGGGGGTTATGTCACGTGATAATGACTTGCAGTTGGTCTGTTGTTAATATGTGGCGGGCCTACAGGTTTTTAAGTGTATCTAAATGTATCCGTTTGTAAATATGAACTTTATGTGTTGACCTGTATATACGTATTGATGATGACTTCCGTCAATTTGATACGGATTAAGAATGTTTAAAAATTAACACTCTGAATTTGGTAGTAAAATTTAGTGATGGTCAAAACCAAAATTTTTTTATCTCAATGCATAACAGAAACTAAAAAAAAAAAAAAAAAAAAAAAAAATCCCGAATCTCAAAACCAGAAAAGAACAATTTTTAGTTGCCTTGTCAAGATCATAAAGAAACACAGGTAATAACAATGCGCTCAAGGTGTCAAATAATCACTTCATTCGAAGGTTGTTAACAAACCATCATGTTTTATTTATTGAATTCTGTTTGTTAACAAAAATAAACATCCTAGCTTTTGCGGACGATGTAGTCATTCTGTCAAAAAACAGAAATGACCTAGAGGAGCTAACAAGACTGTTCTAAAAAATTCAGAAAAAATGGGCCTAAAGATTAATGATGAGAAGACAAAATATATACACTTCACGAGACAGCCAAATGAAATGAGGACAAATGAAATTAGTATAGATGGACATATTTTTGAAGCTGTTGAACAATTTAAATATCTAGGGGTAATTATATCAAGCAGCAATAGTGAAGAAATGGAAATAAATTATAGGATTGCTCAGGCCAATAAATGTATGTATTCTTGTAAGAAATTGTTGACTTCAAAGATTCTCTCACATAAAACGAAAATAAAAATATATCATAGTATAATTCGACCAGTATTAACATATGGAGCTGAAACTTGGATTTTAAATAAAAAAGAAGAAAACAAAATGATTGTTTTTGAAAACAAAATTTTAAGAATGATATATGGACCAATACAAGAAAATGGAGAATGGAGAAAAAGGCATAATAGGGAGATAAGGAATATGTACAATGATTATGATGTAGTAGCACACGTGAAAGCAAGGAGAATAAGGTGGGCAGGACACGCACTACGGAGAGAACGAGGTTCACTACTAAAAGAAGCAAGTATAGGAAAGCCAGAAGGGAAACGACCATTAGGAAGGCCCAAGAAGAGATGGTGGGATAGTGTTTCCAAGGACGTAAGAGAAGTGGGGGCAGAAGTGGAAGAGGCAGAAGATCGAGAGAGATGGAAAGCAGTTGTTGGTGCGGCCAAATCCCGCCTTGGGCATAAATGGCCATGGGAGTGAGTGAGTGAGTGTGTTTGTTAACAACCTTCGAATGAAGTGATTACTTGACACCTTGAGGCCTGATGATGGTTCAGGAGAACCAAAACTAGTTGCCAGAATCAGCAACAAAGGATTACTATATGCAGGTATTGTAAACCATTTTAAGTTTTGATGTTTGGTTATTTCCTCTTTGCCTTCACTTCATCATAACCTCCAGTCTTTCATTGTCATTTGTTTAATGTGAACAGCTGACAACTACAACTGTCTTTGTACTGAATGCATTGGAATGTTTTTAAACTTATATATTTTGAAAAAGATTATGTGATAACACCCAGTTATTGGAATAGACTTACCAGATGTTATAAATTATCTTGTCAAATTGTTACTTCAAACAAGTTTAGTTCCTAACAATTCTTAACCTAATTTTAAAACTTCTTTGTCATGGCTATGACTTATCTTGGTACTAAAATAAGATACGAGTGAGTACTACGACTATCTGCAGTACTATCCTGATAATTAGACCAATTCGTATATACCAAAGCAAAAATGTGGTTCGGATTCCACTATAAACTGTACAGTAGATCCCTTAGTTGCCATTAGCTGTATGGGCTATTAATCATCAGCTGTGTCTAAGGAATGTCGGCCTTAGTCACTAACAAGACTACAAGATCGCGCCACTCAACTCATCTTCATACATACTTGGCTTAAAATACCTACTTTGTATGGTCACCATTTCATTGAAAAGTATTAAAAATATTAAAATATTTTAACCATGTTTTCTTCATGACACAATCCTGTTAGGAGAAAAAGTAATGTATGGTACTGTAATTACATTTACGAGAACCAAAGTACAAGTAACGTTTCGTACCGACCTTAAGTTTTCTCTACCGCAGACCAACTGATTGTGTCCCTTACCTGTCCTGAGGAAAGATGTTGACCTGGTTGGAGCTGTAGAGGTTGGTGAGTGTTGAGACAAGGAAGTCTCCCCACCAGGGCTGTAGGCCACATATGCGGACCAGCAGTGTACACGTTGCCAGCTGCGTACGAGTTTCCTCTCCCACACATAGCCAATGGAACAGCTGCTCACACATGGACTGGTCCAGGCGCCCACACACAGACTGAACACAACACAGATGGTCAAATACAGTGGCATAGCCAGGTAAACATAAAGAAATTCTGAGATGTTGTAAGTCAGGAGCCCTATGCAGGAAGGTTTTAGTAAAATATTAGTGTTAAAAAGCTATTTAAAAAACCACTTCCAATCAAAGGTATGAAACATTTTAGGTAGGGATGGACGAGATTGGATTTTTAGTTCGAGACGAGATTTTTTATTTCTCATAAAATTTCGAGACGAGATCGAGACGGGATTTCCCTTCTCATACACAACGGGAAATGCACGTTCAAAATTTTTACCTGATTTTGTAACATTGTTAGATGACTGTTTAAATACAAAAATAATGATAATAGGCAAGAATATTTACAATCTTTCATTAAAAAACATCAGCATAACATTTTTTTATTAATCACGCCTAACTTATAAAAAATGCCTACGATTAGGAAACATAGTGATATCAGTTAGGATATAGTTCAACTTATCCTAAAATAAAATAAATCATAAAATAAAAGCAATATTAATTTTTATAAAATAGTTAGGTACTTGTTTTGACTTTTTATAGTAATAAAACATTCCTCACACTGCTTACACTTAACAAAACTTCTCAAATGTTATTAAAGTAATATTTTTATAATAATTAAAGTAATATTTACATTTAAAGAATTAATTAAATAAGAACGCCTTCGCAAAGGAAACGCAACTACAACACGCTCCTGTATTGCGGGTATTGCATTGACTTTCTGCAGGCGTTTTTATTTATTTTTTTTTTAATTCTCGTCTCGGTAAAAATCTCGGCCAAAAAAAATCTCGTCTCGTGTAACGAGATTTAAAATTTCCCGAAATTTCGAGACTTGACCATCCCTAATTTTAGGGAATGAATAGACCTTGATTATGTTTGGCTATGTTAAATATTAGTGATGGTCGGATCTGGATATTGGACTACCGAATCCATCGGATCCGATTTGGAATAAGTTACTATCTGTACACTGTACTATCATTACAACCATTTTCAAGGACGATAATTTTGTTGTGTTATTATAAAAATTACTCCGCCTGGCGGTCTGTAGTCTAGACAAGCTTTCTCTTGACCACTAGGGGAGGGTCTGATAAGCCGTCTATTGCTTTGATAAGCTGATGCTTTGGACACACACCTGCAGTCATGATGCAACATTCACCGGCGCCTGTCTCGCGTGTTTGTCACTTGGCCAAGTTTGTTAAATTTGTGTATTTAAATGTTTTCTTATTCGTGTTTTTTGTGTAATTATTTATTTTGACAAAATCATCCACGGATGACAGCTATTTTATCTTGACGCTCTACAACCTGAAGATGTGCTCCATGAAACAGCTGTAGTTATCACTTACTACATCAAGGATCATTTGACGCAAAAGGTAACTTAAACCATTTTATATTTAAATTAGGGATGGACAGGTCCATTTTTCCATCCGCTATCGCGAGAGATGTTCACGATAGTTCTGCGAACGCAGGAGGTGAAGTCATTTCGACGATCGCGCCGTGACCGCATAGTCATAGGTACTGACGATCTTGCCGAGACCACGAGTCATACCGACGATCACGGAGTCATAACGGCTATCGTGCCAAAATCTCGAGGTCATACCGACGATTATGCCATGACCGCGAGTCATACCGCCGATCACGCCGTGACCGCGGAGTCATAACGACGATCGCGCCATCAAGTCAAGTCAAGTCAAAACATTCTTTATTCATAATAGTTTCACATTACATGAACTTGAATAGAGTCATGAGCTAAATTCAAAATTGCTTACTGCTAATTAAATACATAAAAAGAGTACTAAAATTACTTTACTTTAACTTTTAACAAAACCATGACTTTAATGATTACAGTATTTGGAATTCAAATTAAGTTAGGCCTAACTGTTTTTTACTAATACTAAAGAATTCTGTTACTGAGTAGCAGGGAGTTCTTAAAAAATATTCCTTTAAGAGCTGCTTGAATTTATTAAATTTGGTTTCTTTTCGGATGTGAGCTGGTATAGACTGGAGAAATTTTAGCCCTATGTAAGATGTCTTTTTAGTGTAAAATTCAAGATTATGCCGAGGTAGGTTAATTTTTAATCTGGTGTTATATACTACTTGTTCTGTTGAGCTGGATGATAGTTGGATCTGTTTTGCATAAATTATTGTTTCATAAATATAAAGACTATAAACTGTTAATATTTGTAATTCACAAAAGATGCTCTTGACTGGCTCTTTCTTTTTAAGATTTTTCATCACCCTGATAGCTTTTTTCTGCTTAATTAGTACTTTATCTAAATTAGTTTTTGTTGTTGCCCCGTATAGAACAATTCCATATGAAATATGTGAATGTATTAATGAGAAATAAACAACTCTTAGAGTGTCTAAACTGCATACTCTGAACATCTGTCGCAGAGCATGGATACCGGAAGATACCTTTTTAACCACATAATTCACATGGCCCTCCCAAGATAGATGTTTATCGATAATTAGACCAAGAAATTTTGTTTGCTTTACTTGGTTTATTCTTTCTGATTTTATGCAAATGTTTGGTTCAAAATTTTGTCTACGTTGTTTAGTGGAAAATGATATAAAATTGGATTTTTCTGTGTTAATAAGCAGATTTTTTCGGTCAAGGAATTCTTTAGTGGATAAAAGACTCTCCTGAGAAAACGTTTCAATCTGTTCTTTTGATCTTCCCGGAACCAGCACATTACAATCATCAGCAAACAGACACATAGACCCGCCGTTTCCAGGAATCGCTCCTGGCATACCTCTAATATAGCAGAGAAAAAGTAGAGGCCCCAGGATCGATCCCTGCGGCACCCCATATTTCAGCGTCTGATGCTGAGATCTACATTTTTCAACGTACTTAGTGCTTGCATGCTCCACAACATAATCCAATTCAACAAATTGTTTTCTATTTTCTAGATATGATGTAAACCATGCAAGCTCTTTTCCACAGATTCCTATTTCTTTTAGTGAAGTCAACAATATACTATGTGACACGCTGTCAAATGCCCTACTAAGATCCAAAAAGATTCCTACAACATTTTCTCCTCTGTCAACAGCATTTATTATAGATTCTATGAATTCAATACCAGCTGTTATTGTTGATTTGCCCTGCCGAAAGCCATGTTGTTCTTTATCAAATAGTTGATTATTTTCCAGATATTTATAGACCTGAATGTAAACAATACGTTCAAAAATTTTTGAAAAAACAGGTAAGAGAGAGATAGGGCGGTAACAGGAGGGATCAGTTTTATTACCTTTTTTAAAAATGGGAATTACTTTAGCCAATTTTAATTTTGATGGAAAGATTCCTGAAATAAGAGAAGAGTTTATGATATGTGTTAGTGGTTTCTGGATAATGTGTATTGATTTTTTAACTATGGTGATTGGAATTTCATCAAAACCTGCAGAGTACTTGTTTTCAAAGGAAAGGACCACTTTAGTGAGGTGTTCTTCTGTTATTGTGTGAAACTTAAATGACTTATCTGTAGGTAAAATATTTTTCTGGATATCTGTTTTTTGTGTAAGTGAAGGAGAAATGTGTGGCAATATAAGCTTTTCCACAGCTGATACAAAGAAATTATTAAAGTTGTTACTGACAGCTACTGGATGCTTAAGGAGTTTACCATTTTGCTCTATACATATCGGAATGTTGCTGGTAAAATCACTTTTTGAGTTAAGCTTTATTTCACTTTTAATTATGTTCCACGTTGCTTTAGTTTTATTAGAAGAATGTTTTATTTTCTCATTATAAAATGTTTGTTTGGCTTGGTGTATTGATTCTTTTAGTTCCTTTTTCTTAACCTTTATCTTTTGATATGTGTCAAAATTTTGTCTTATCCTACCTAGCTTTTCCAGTTCATTTAACTCACTCCTTTTTTTTAAATAACTCCTTTGAATTCCATTTACATTTACTATATCCACCATCTGCACTTAAAACTTTGGGAAAATTAACATCAAAATCAAACCATGATCGCGAAGTCATACTGACGATTATGCCGTGACCGCGAGTCATACCGACGATCAAGACGTGACTGCGGAGTCATAAAGACGATTGCACCGTGGCCACGAAGTCATGCCGACTATCATGCCGTGACCACGAGTCATACTGACGAACACGCTGTGACCATAGAGTTATACCGACGATCACGCCATGACCGCGGAATCATAACGACGATCGCGCCATGATCGATCGCGCCATGATCGATCGCGCCGTGACGTCATACCAATGATCGCGCCGTGACCGCGGAGTCATACCGACGATCACGTCGTGACCGCGCATCATACCGACGATCGTGCCGTGACTGCGGAGTCATAATTACGATTTCACCGTGGCCGCGAAGTCATGCCACAAAACCAAACCATGATCATGCCATGACCACGAGTCATACTGACAAACACGCCGTGACCATAAAGTTATACCGATGATCACGCCATGACCGCGGAATCATAACGACGATCGCGCCATGATCGCGAAGTCATACCAATGATCACGCCGCGAAATCGGAGTCATACCGACGATCGCGCCATGACCGCGAAGTAATACCGACAATCATACCGTGCCCACGAGTCATACCGACGATCACGCCATGACCGCGGAGTCATACCGATGATTGCACTCCGACCGTGAGTCATTTCGACTGCAAGTCACAAGTTTCTATACCTGTAAATTTTTAGCATTTTTTGTTTTTGTAGATCAGTGCCACAAATTGATTTTGTTTTTCTTGTTTGGTAACAGCAAAACTCAAGACATTCTTTTAATGTACAGGAAAAAATACCGTCCCGTCCCGAAAATTGGGAAGGAAATAAAAATCCCGTCCTGTCCCGAACCAAAAATCCAATCCCGTCCATCCCTAATTTAAATAAAATACCACTATTCCGATACCGATTCCTGACTCTTCTACGAAGATCGTCTCGGAAAATTACAGTTATTGCGACGATCGCACGAGGCAACAATAGACATCGCCGCGAGTGATGATCAGAATTTTTCCCCCGATCATAAAAGACGTCGATAATGTCTAAAAAGTATGATTTAAATTGTATTTCTGTAAATATTTATTAGATTTTTTTTAATATCTCGTCCTTATAACAGTACGTATCTAGATCCAGATCCGAAATTTCAAGATCTGGATTCGGAACTAACATTTTCTTGGATCCGCCCATCACGTTTAAATATCACTGTTAAATATTTCAAGAAATTCCTTCCAACATTTTTGTATCATTCCACTAAATTAACCTTTGCTTTAATCTGACATCAGTAGGCCTACCTTGGGCATGCAGACAGCATCATAGACCAGGAAGAGTAGAAGGTCCAGAAGGTTTTCACCCAACACTCTCAGTTTGTCTGTGCAGGCTGTAGTGAGAGCGTTGTTTGGGTCAGGAGGCTCGGAGCTGCTGCCCAGTCTTCGCATCACACTGCGCACACTGTTCAACTGGTGCTGGTATGTGATGCACTCCTGTAGTTCCACAACATGAATGATTGTAAGTTCCGTTATATCCAAGAGAAAAATAAAATATTCACCAAGTTAAAAGGATGTTTAATCACTTTTACCTATTTGAACCCCCTGTGTTCTTGAATAAGGTTGTTCCGATTTTGTGTGGCAGTTGGATATAGCTGGAATATCATATGTAGGGGTTATGGTCTAGCAATCAACTTTTTTTTCCACCACTCAGGAATAATTATTATGCATGATGCTTAGGAACTTGAGTTACAAACACAAAACACATTATTACCTTTCAATTAACCATTAACCAATACTAGCAACAGAGAATATGAGTTTGGACTATCACCTTGAAATAAAAATACAGGTGGTATTAAAGCCGGATATTAAAATTACAGATACCACTTAAGGGAATTTGGCTAAAACATTTGTTATTAAAATTAAAATGAAAATGTATGGATGATGGTAATTTCGTCAAATATTGATCGACACAAAGAGATGAACAACAGGCTCGACAAGAGTTGAAAATCTCCAATTATTTGTTCTAAACTATGCTTAAAGCAATTATAATTTTATTCCAAAAATTTTAAAGTTGTAATAAGCTTGTCATTTTGAAATGAAATTATAAATAGGTGGCACAATAAACTCAAAATTAAGCCTCTTTTCAAGAAGAGAGATGAATCATTCATGTCAAGTTATAGACCGTTGTCCTCAATACCCTCATACCTGGTTTATGAAAAATCAATGTATAATAAGTAGGATAACTTTTGTTGTAATGAATAATATAATCGATAAAGAGCAGCATCGTTTCAGAAAAGGGCGGTACTGCTGTAACTACTGCAGTTGATTTTATTGAATCTGCAATAAACTCAATTGATGCTGGGGAAAGGGTTGTAGGAGTTTTCTTATATATACCTAAAGTAGGGGTCTGTGGTTCACTGAAAAAGTTGGTACGGTACGGTTCTGGCTTAATTACTGCCATTGGTTCTGTACAGATCCGATCGGTACAGCCTATAATAATAAATTACTTTCAATATACTATCGTAGTTAATGGTAATTGGTTCTGGCACATAAAAGGTTTATCAGACGATTGTTTACGATTTTCACAGCTTATTATTAGGGTAATGATGCAATAAAAACCCCGTCTGTTATTCTTTCCAAAATTTTGTGATTCGGCCGAGTTTGTCAATGTCATAAACCGTGTATGTAAATAATGAGTGTCCGTTGTCGTGTCCGTTTTTGTATTCGTGTTCTTCGTTTTACGTTAATATGTGACAAACACTCTCAATGTGAGCTAATTTTTAACCTGTATAATGACGCAGCTGAAGATGTGTCGTATTTGACATGAAAAGCGTACTGCAGAACTCCAACTTTTGACACCTTAGGCTACCGAAAAAAAGGTAAATTATACTGAATAATTGACAGGTGTCTAGGCTTTGGCAAAAATAAAAATGAAAATAATAGTTTTATAATAGCTGTTAAATTTCACCTCAAACTCATATTTTTGTGAACATTTAATTTGCCGCTGGCCATTGCCTATTACCATAAAACTATTTATGGTTTCATAATTAACTTGTAAGTTACTACTCCACAGAATTATTTTATAAGTTAAAAATTGTTCATAGATATTTTATCTTTTAATTGACAAAACCACGAGGTTGTTGTTTGCATTCGTTTTTTTTTTCTTTTTTCGTTATGGTCTCAAATCATGTCATTTTCATTGCATATTCTATTTCTTTGTCTTGTATTCAGTTTATTTATTTACGGCAAAAACCATTATACAATAAACACCATACATACAAAGATGCAAAGTTATACAATCGGTAATTTATATAAGGGTATATTTTTGGCTATTCAGGTTTAAATGCTTTTTTTATTTCCTATATTTTTTATTCTGATGTATAGGTACTTTATGCAATCTAAATTTTATGAACTAGAATGATGATAGGGACTTTGCTACCCTCATTCTTAAACTCATTGTTTGTTACTCAATTACATAATTATGCCCTCCTAAATAATAATCTCTAGATCTTTTGATTCTTTGGAAGAGCTTTAAAAAAGTACTAAGAAAATTGAATTGAGCCTGAGATAAACTAATGATTGTGTCGATGTTAACTTTGCAAATGTAAAGACAATTATCTTACTCTGTGCTAATCCATTTTTTAGTGTCAGAAAAAGTTTTGCAAGAGTTGTATCCATCTTATAATTAGTTTTGAAGCTGATAACAAAGGATGCCATTTGCCTTTACTTCATCATAACTTCCAGTATTTCATTGTCGTCTGTTGAATGTGAACAGCTGGCAACTAGATACTGATCGTTTGTCACCTGATAAGCAGTGGTTATTTTGGAAGTCGATGGCTTGAGCAGTTCAGATCCACGACGCAGGTAGTGGTGCATGTGAGAGACATTGGCTATCTCAGCAGTCAGTAGAGGCGACAGAAGGTCCTGCAGCTTGGAGCAAGCTAGAGAGTAGCGGCACTGGATATCTTCAAACAATGCACTCAGTACGCTGAGTTGGTTCTGAAACACAACACCAATCACTGATTCCTATACTTGAACTAAATAACAGTGTTACGTCGGGGGACTCTTTTTCATGAACAATGTATCAGTGGCGTAACAGATTTTATTCGGGCCCCCCTGCAAACTTATTTTTTGGGCCCCCTCTCATGAGCTATTTTTAGACCACCGATACAACATAATCAAACGCTCTCCCCCCCTTAGAGTTATTTTTGGAGCACCGATGCAATGATCAAACAGATTCATCATAAATATACTGTAGTAGTAAATAAATTATGGGCAATTTTCTATAAAAGAGCGTGTTAAGTATTTCCATTTGTATTTCAGTCATGGTTTGATGATAAAGTTACATCACTACATCATTATATCAGTACTGTATCAGTTTTTATAAATAGTTTTAAAAAAAAATTAAAATACCTTATTTTTTAATTTTTTCATATCAAGGAGGTTTTAAATAACTCATACACAAAACATTGGCTGATATAAAAGAATGACTTACCTTTATCACAGGCTAAAATAGCCTAATGCATTTTAGTGAATTTCCCTATAGGGAAGTAGCTATTACCGTAGGTCTCATGGTAAGACCTAGGCCCGGGACCGATTTACTTTTTCATTTTGATGTCCCCAGAGGCCAAAAACACCATTCGCTCAAATTTATATATGTAGGTGTGTGTGTGTCCGTCCGGACGATAACTTAAGTAATTTTTGTCCGATTTTTATAAAATTTGGTTTGAAGGTCTAAATGATAGGCGGGATAAACTTGAATGAGTTCACGAACCAGCATGATCGGACCATGGGAACGGGGTTTAATGGGGGGCTGTTATGGGGTAAAAATGGAGTTTTCTCATTTTTTACCCTTAAAACACCAAATTTAAAAATTTTTCTCCAGACCTTTTTAAAGAGCTTAAAAAAACCAATAATTTAGTATGTCAAAGTGTTTTTGTACGGTGAATGGTTACAGAGAAAATTTTAAAAAATTGGTAATTTAAAATTTCCATGTTATTCTTATGGAGAATATTGTAAAATGTTGTAGTTGGCATGTTAATGGATATATTTTGATCAAACTTGGCGGATTTATTTATTTCATACTAAGCTATTGATATTTTAATAAAAAAAACACACTTTATTAGTTTCCCTGTAGCAGCTGACCTAGGTACTCGTTAAACATAAATGTTAATTTGCTTAGTCGGCAGGTTTGCGGCAGCTGGGGTATTTTTATTTTTTATGGATTTCAAGTGTCGACCTTACAAATATACATCTTTAGTATTCAATTCAATTCAATTTGTTTATTTACGGCAAAAGCCATTGTACAATTAATACCATTACATTCGGGAGATAACGAATAATAATACTACTAAACAGAGCCACAGAAAACATACTACTATAACCCAGAATGCCAACCGCGTGGTAAAAAGCATTAAGTGTTTTGAGAGAGCTTTGCCTGTCAATCGTAGGCAGCGCCACCAGCGTTGCCATGCACTCAGCATAGCAACGCTGGTGGCGCTGCCTACGATTGACAGGCAAAGCTCTCTCAAAACACTTAATGCTTTTTACCATGCGGTTGGCATTCTGGGTTATAGTAGTATGTTTTCTGTGACAGAGCATACAAAAAATAAATAGCAAGTGGACTCTGAACAAAAAGAAGCTAGCATTACAAGAAGACATGCAAGAGGATATACAGGTAACGTGCAAAAGGCATAATACTGAAATGAGAAACAAGATGCATACAAATCATAATAATAAGACATAGGTAGTGACAATATTAATAAATAGTGCAAGCAATAGTGAGTAAAAATCAGACTCTAAACAAACCAAAAAAAAAGAAAGAAGCTAGCATTGCTTGAAAAAGTACAGGTGGTTAACGAGCAAAGACATCAACTGAAATGAGACACAAGATGCATACGATACATAATAAACAAGACATAACAACAATAATAATAAATAGTGCATACAATAGTAACAAGTAGACTCTGACCAAAACATACACAAGAACAGGATCAACATGAACGAGAGATAATGTTCCAAATTTAACCAAGCTTGATAATAAAAAAATAAACACAAGGGACTCACTACATGCAAGGCTCACAACACTCAAAAATGCATCTCTTCTGAAGGCAGCATGACCAACTCCGAAGAACTCCAGGTGGGCTTGTATCCGAGACGCATAAGACTCGGTACAGGACTCTGGTACATGCAGGAGGTAGGGTAGTGCAGCTTGGCAAAGACGTTCTGTAGCCGTGTTCTCTAAGGAACCTAAGAGTTCAACATCTGAAGAATCTCGGGGCAGTCCACCAGGTAGTTGACAATTATGTACAAAATCAGGTCCAATGCAGTTCATCTTGATGAAAGTGGCAGCAATTGCAGTTGAGCTGCAACCTGATCAGTATTTACTAGTGATGGGCGGATCCAAGAAAATGTCAGTACCGGATCCGGATCCGGATCTTGAAAAAATCGGATCCAAATACAGATACGTTTTTTTTCTTTTTTCAAGGGCGGGTTTTTTAAATAAAATAATTCATATGGCTAGGCAATGTCAAAGACTAACTGTGTCCATGTAAAAACACTTAACATGTGTCGTTATTGAAAACAAAGTTATCACAATTCTACCTTGGGCAATGATTATCTGATTATCGATCGTAATTTTGAAGAGATACGAAAGAGACAAACTACCACCTATTACGTTGTCTTTCTAACACAGCTATTCGTATCGTAATCTACAACGCAGTGCGAGTGCGTGATTGGCTAGTCGCTATGACGACACACGGTTGCCGTGACAACCTACAATGCGCACTGAGCACTGCGCCTTGTGTGGGAGGGGAGCAACAAACTATTTCAGGAATTCCATTTAGGGACGGATGAAAGATAAGGAAGAAACAAAAAGTGGTCACGTGTGCAAATGTAGTGGGCGAGACAATAAAGCTATAAACCTATAAGTATTGTTGCATCGTTGTTCCTTGTTTCAGATTCCCTATCAAACGCCCCTATCTGCTATCTCTCTCTCTCTTCTCTCTCTCTCTCTCTCTCTAACGATGTACTGATTAAACAGATTGTGGTTGACGTTTTTTCTACTTATAAGTTTCCCTGCGGTTATTTTAGTTCAATCAATCCCATAACCTTTCTATCGTTTATCAAAATAATTAATTAATCTGTTTTGTATTTTATTTCCTTTAAACCAACCCCTATTTACCATCCTGTATTTTATAGAATAAAATGTTTGTTTATAAAGTTTGACTAGCCACACAATTTTGTACCTATTTTATTTTGTATAAAGTAACAGTTACTTTGATGATTATATATATATATATCAATAAGTGCTGCGTGCTGTAATGAATGCTTTTTATTATCAAAATAAGTAATGAATTATTAATTTTTGATAATACATGGGTCATTGAATACCATAATGTCATGTAGTTTCCGATTTGTAACTTACAAATAATAATAATTGATAGTTAATTCTGGAAAATGAAAAATGGTGAACGCATTCATAAGCCTGTTGTCAAAACAGCAACGCGGGCGGGTGTAAGGGTTTATTGTTTCAGAGGCTAGGGTGTTTCAAGGACAAAGTGTTGGGCCTCCCGGCTTAGGGGGGGGGGGGGAGGGGTGGTGGTGAGACTGCAAGAGGGGGAGGAAACTGGTTTTGGCTATTTATTGATTAGTTCACCGACCCTTCTAGACAACAAAATTGAGTGACAGTGTTAATCATCTGTATTTCATTTCTTGTTTACTTTGTGTGTTATTCTATTAATTTTAGTGTTTTGGTCTATTTCCTTCTGGTCCCTTGCAAATTGTATTATCAATGCTAAATAATTGTGGTCAATTCAAATTATATTTTTGATTATTCAAATCTCCTACACAAAAAGACAAAAGTCAAACCAGGCAAGGAAAAAACCTGCTATTGTAATCCCCGTACCCAGCTATTTGGGAAGTGGTGAAAGTCTAGTCTAAATATAGCTCAAATGTCTCACCCTTCCCTTCCCTCCCAACCCCCTACTCAATGTTGCTATTCCGCTCGTCATTGCACAACCCCTCCCTCCCTTCTATTGTTTTGCCTTTATAGTGTTTCTATTCTGACTTTTAACATAAATTTATTGCTTACGTAACAGTTCAGTAGTGGAATTTTCTATTGTGAAACAGTAGGCCTACTTTAAAAGAAAATCACTACCGATCATGTCATTCTATTCTGTGTCAAGTCAGTATACCATTGCTTTGAGTTGACCTATTCTGTCGTGACAGCTATAAAAATAGGTTATGACAACTACCTCTTTTGGTTATTTCTATATTTAAATTATCCATCATTTTATGTAAACACAAGTTACATTTCAACAAATATTGATTTTTTACAATTTTAAACCAAACTGGCGAGTTCAAAGATAAGCTCGAGTTTCAAGGCCGTACTCTACTCGAACTCGAAATCTCTAATACTCGCCCGTTTTGTGTTAATAGTATAAAAAAAATCGGATCCGTTAAAACCGGATCCAGCCCAGGATCCGATATTTTGTGGATTTTATCGGGCGTCGGTTCTAGCTCAGATCCGGTGGATCCGGTAGTCTGATATCCGGATCCGACCATCACTAGTATTTACATCTGTATAGCGAATCCCTGCTCGAACAACAACCAGGCGAAGGAAGCGCTTTTGGACCATTTCCAAGGAAGTAATATGGCCAATTTGGAACGGAGACCATACAGTTGAGCAGTATTCAAGAATTGGTCTCACCAAGGATACATACAAGATCTTTAAAGTATTGGTAGAGAAAGCACCACTCCTTGACATACGGGCAATGGGGCAATTAAACCCAGTACAGAATTGGCCTTCTTGCATATTCTCTGTATGTGTTCACCTGGGTCCAAAGTAGGGGTTATGAACACTCCAAGATCTCTAGCCCCATTTACTCTTTTTAGCTGAATGCCTAGAATTGTGTAGTTGTAGACAAGCAAGTTCTGAGATTTTCCAAATGACATAACTACACACTTTCCAGCATTAAGTTTCATCAAGTTGTTGGTGCACCATGAAAACGGTATTAAGGGCTTCTTGGAGTTCATGCTGATGTTGCAGAGAAGACACTTTCTTGTAGATCTTGATATCGTCTGCAAATAAGAGATACTTGCAGCCCAACGAGTCTCCAACATCATTGACACACATACTGAACAAGAATGATCCCAAGTGTGAACCCTGTGGCACACCAGAAGTCACCTGAATCGGTTTGAAGATGTTGGATGAAAGCTTGATTGATTAATTGTAAGGTAAAATAAGATATAGGCTAACAAACAAAGTCAATAGAGTAGCAATATATTGTATTTAACAATTTAACTAAAGCAAATTAATATTAGGGCAAAACTAAAATGTAAAATAATACAATATTTAAAGCCCCAGTCAAAGTTCAAGACCAGCTGCTCCAGGTAACTTAATGTTTCAAAATGTTTTCAGACATAAGCAGTGTACGAAAGCACAGATAAGTCAAATACTTCTCTGTGATCAAAATAAGATTGCACAATATTCAAAGACCCGGACGTTATAAAATATAAAATTTGTACCTTAGTACGTTATCACTGAATAGGCCTAACAAAATTAAACGATAACAACAACAACATATTATTAATAACCTTAATGTTATTACTTGTTCAATACATACAATTATTGTATGATTGATAATACATTTCAATAAGAATGAACTCCAATATTTTTTTTGCCCCACTCATCTCTCGGGCCTCTTTGCTCGCCATTTCCCGCTCACCGGTTTGCTTCCCTCGCATTGTGGGCCCTTCTGTTACGCCACTGCAATGTATGTTCCCTCCATGGACCAAGAGTGTCAAATGTGATACACTTACAAAACAATTTTTCCTAACTGTACTGCGCGTAATCTGCACTTGGAAGTAGTTCTGGTGTCTACTTAGAACAATAATAAAATTTGGTTACTACTTACGCGTATTCTTTGATTTTTCATAAACCTAAAAATGCCCCTAACCCAAAAAATCACATTTTAGATATGTGCCTGAGTAGGATAAGCCCTGGCTTATCTATCTGATGGCTTTAATGAAAATTGGGCATTTATTTTCATGTTTTAAGATTAGGCCTAACTGTCAAAAACCAGTTTTTGAAAATTAAAGTTTGTATGTTTGTTTAGCTGGCAATTTGGGATGATGACTTTTACCCCATGAAGCAATAATAATAAATATTAAGAGGGGTTTAAATTAAAAATATTCTGCCGCAGCAAACCTGTAGGTTAAGCGAATTTCCATTTGCCTGATTGGATTTACAGTAAAATATCTCCTTAAAAATATCACATTTATTTCCTATTCAAACAGCTTAAGTTTGACGAGTACTTAGGTTTGCTGCAACAGGGAGGGATAAATGTGTTTGTTTTTTTGTGAAGTAGTTTAGTGTAAAATAAATGCATTTTTCTAATTTGTTTAAAATATGTTCACAAAAAGGCAATCTACAGTAGACTCCCTCTTACCCGAACTCCTTGAGACCGAGGCTAGTCCGGATAACGGTTTTTATCCGGTTAACATTTTGAGCAACATTTTGATTAGTAGGTGTGCACTATTACCACCCAGCTATTTTTCCTGGACTTTAAAAAGAGTATAGTTTATTTTTATATCAATTTGTTAAGAGTTTTACAAGGCTCGATTCTAGTAAAGTATCTACCTCTATTCTCTCCTAAGTTAATAGAGATAATAAATAACATAACATATTACCTGAATATTTGTACTCTGGGGAACCTGATTATTCTTTTCCGCATAATCATCACCAGGTAAAACAATAAGATGACCATAAAAGCATCCTATTGGTATTTTGCACTTAGTTGTATTCATTCCATACCTGCCAATAGTTGTAATCTGGAATAGAAAAAAATACTTTAGAAAAATACGCTCATTAATTTGGTTTGAATTTTTTTGATAAAGTCAGTGTCAGAATCAAAACTGGGATTAAGGCTTAGCTATTTATTTGAAGATTAATGAAATGTGTGTATGTAAATGGGTCACCATAAGAATAAGACCTGTGTAAACCTGGATAATCAGGGGTAATGGGAGGGGGGAGACCATGAATAACTGAAAACCACAGTTTATCAAACATGACAATATGAAATAAACATTTTATAACAAACCCATAAAAGCTGCCTAGTGTTCAATAAATGGTCATTCATGTGATGATGACATAGGTTAATCAAAACACATTAGTATTAATAATAAGCAATCATAAAATATGGAGTCATTAACCTCGGTTCAGTTATAAAAACTAGGGGTCTGTACAGTGGGTTCTGGCCTAATTTCCCTCGTCGGACGATCATACGGTGATCGCGAGTCATGCCGACGATCGCGCGGTGACCGCGGAGTCATGCCGACAATCGTGCCGGGATTGCGAGTCACACCGACGGTCACCCCGTGGCCGCGGATTCAAACCGACAATCACGCCGTGACCGTGAGTCATACCGACCATCATGTCGTGACCACGAGTCCAACCGACGATCGCGCTGTGACCGCGGAGTCATGAAATGAAATGAAACGACGATCGTGTCTTGATCGCGAGTCATACCGACGATCACCCCGTGACTGCGGAGTCATACCGACGATTTCGCCGTGACCGCGAGTCATACCGACGATTACCCCGTGACCGCGGAGTCCTACCGACGATCGCGCCGTGACCGCGGAGCCATACCGACGATCGCGCCGTGACCGCGGAGTCATACCGACAATCACGCCGTGACCGCGGAGTCATACCGACGATCACCACGTGGCCGCGGATTCATACCGACGATCATGTCGTGACCACGAGTCATACCGACGATCGCGCAGTCATACTGACAATCACGCCGTGGCTGCGAGTCTTACCGACGATCACCCCGTGGCGACGGATTCATACCGACGATCACACCGTGACCGTGAGTCATGCCGACGATCATGCCGTGACCACGAGTCATACCGACGATCCCCCCGTGGCCGCGGATTCATACCGACGATCACGCCGTGACCGCCGTCATTTTGTTAATTACGTTTTTTTTTACCCACTCTTATGACAGTGTGTATCTGGATCCGGATCCGAAGATCCAAAGATCCGAAACTGAATTTTTCAAGATCCGGATCCGGTACCGACATTTTCTTGGATCCGCCCATCACTACTTACGTGTCTATATAGTTATTAATTAAAAGAAAACACTGAATTTCTACAACTATTTACTTTTTGTATCAAATGAAACCAAAATTAAAACCTTTTATAAAGGGGTCAGGGTGTCTACTACATTCTGGATAAAAAATTCATGGACAATTCCCGTACATTTAAGGACACTTTGTGGTAGCCTTTGTCGGTGTGATTACCGAATAATTTTCCTGATTTTTTAAACTGTATTAATCTTTTTTTTCACTGTAGTTGTACCAGAGAGAAAAGTAAATAATAATAGACAAGAGTTAGCCTAAATTTCAAAATAGAAATTTATTGAAAGTAAACAAACGTATACTTTAGGTAAAGCTTAAAAAATAGTGACAGGGAAACGCAATCATTGTCTCCTGCGATAGCGACAAAATACTGAATATCTCCATCGGTCACGGAAACATCATAACATAGCTTATCCGATCCAGGCGAATTAATTTGGCATGATTCGCCCTGACACAACGTTAGGTTCTCGACTACTTTTGAAAAAAAAAGAATCTTTAATGCATATATTGTAACTCAGTTCTTGGTACAAAATCGGTATGGTAAGAGGCTACCAGTAAGCACAGAGTGATTATTGTCTTTCCATTTGCAAAGTTAATATCGACACATAGCAATCATTAGTTTATCTTAGGCTCAATTACATTTTCTTAGTATATTTTACAGCTCTTTCAAAGAATCAAAATACCCAGTCATAGACCTAATTATTTAGGAGGGCCTATATCAACTGAGTAACAAACAATGAGGTTATAGCAGTCACTTTCATCATTCTAGTTCATAAGCTTTAGATTGCTTAAAGCATACATCACAATAAATAAATATGGGAAACAAAAAACATTGTAACCTGAACAGCCAACAATATAAGACAAAGATACAGAAAATGCAATGACATAATTTGAAACCAAGTAGGCCTACGTATTGATAAAAAATTTATGCAAACAACAATGCTTGTGGTTTTGTCAATTGAGAGATAAAATACCCATAAAAAAGGGTTTAACTTACAAAATAAGACTGTAGATTAGTTACATGTTTAATATGAAACCATAAACAGTTTAATGGCACTAGCCTAGGCAATGGCCGGCGGCAAATTGAATCTTCAAAGACTGAAGTACAAGTAAAAAGTGAAATTTAACAGCCATTATAAAACTATTATTTTCATGATAAAATAGGTTTGGGATCTAATAATAATTACCCTAGTTATAAATAAAGAAGTTGTAAAGGAATAAAAGTGATACAACTTTTATGAGCTAGCTACTGAGTCAACAGTTCTTGGAAGTACTTGACTTGACACTTGATTGTCGTGATAAAATATTAATGGGTTTGAGACTGCTAATGGGGTTTTTATTGCATAATTACTCTAGTAATAAATTATGAAAATGTAAACAAACATCTGATAAAACTTTTATGTGCTACTAACCAACTAGCGATCGATAAAATTATGGCCCATTAAAAATTTAAGGACATAGTTTGGCATTTAAGGACAATTCCCGTACATTTCATGGCCAGTAAAAAATTAAGTACAATTCCCGGTTTTCCCGGTTGGTAGACACCCTGAGGGGTTGAAAACCCGTGATTGAGATTAGAAATTTGTTTTGAATGTTTACCTTGTAAAGTTGGTCACGTGTCTAGTAGTTTTGGTCACGTGACTAGTAAAATACACTAGTATTTACTAGCGGTATAAAAACGTTTATGAAACACAAATTAGTAGGACAGGTAAATACGGGACTAGTATTTACTAGAATAGTAATTACTAGACTAGTATTTTTATGAAACAGGGCCCTGGACGTAAACTTTAGACAATTTTATGTGAACTTAGGGGTACAGTCTTGTACAATTGACTACACCAGCAACAATGTGGTCTACTAACCTTGATAAACCTGACAACTGGAGGTGGTGTAATGTCATTCATGATCAATGTCTTAGTGGTGATGTCAGGAGCCACTACCAGACGTCTGGCATCCGTGTCCTCCCCCACTGTCCACAGGTCGATGGATAGAGACAGCAAGTCAGGACACGCAGGGACGTACAGGTCGGTCAGTAGCACAGGTGAGCCTAGGTCCAGCACTACAAACCTACGAGCACCGCTGTGCATCCTCTCTACAACCAGCATATGCTGTGGAGGAGCCATCACCAACTGCTGCCACGGCAGCCGTTCCTGCCATACAAAAAAAAAAATGGATGCATTACACGACGTCCAAACGTACAGTAACTGGAAAAAATATAGTCTTTCTACAAGCATTGGACGTCATGGGATTGGTCGTCGTGTAATAGCACACTTTATATTCTTTGAAAAAAGTAGCAGTTACACGATGTCCAAAGCCCCTGCTATGCCTGTTGCACGATGTCCAATAGCTCAGCGCTGTTGCACGATGTCCAAAGCTCATGCTTACAATATCACAATATTGTGCAGTATTCATATTGTAGTTTTTGTATATAAAAATGCAAATTACAAATTCTTAACCTTAAAATTTATTTATTAAGTACTTGAAAGTCAAAACTATCCGAATCCGAAAATATCTGAATCCGAACCTCTAATTATCCGATCTAATCCGAACTGAGCCTTAACTATCCAAATCAAATCGGATCCGAACTGAAATTTCACTATAAAATTATAATTGTTATATAAACAAACAAATGGGTACCCAAACGGTCCAAAAACACCACTACTTTTGTTTGTATCAAGAATCATTAGTTTACTCCAGATTATCATACTCTAAGGAATTACTTTTCCCACTTGTCTACAATCAGATTTAACTCAGCTTATATCCTTAGTTTAAATTAGCCATTGATAGGTGAACAAACTAATACATACCAGATTGTTTTCAGTAACTTTCTTGGGCCCATTGCTATCCACGTGGTTGGAAACAACCGGTGGTGATATTGGAGAGATAGGTGGTGCTTCAAAGTAGTTTACTATTGCTTCACTTATTACCTTATTTCCTGCTTCACCTAAAAAAAAATAAAGAGTATTTCACCAGTTTTAAGTCAGTTAAGTATTACAGTAAATTGAAGGAGTTCAAATACTCTACTTGTATTTACCACTGTCCATCTTCTCTAATTTTGTTCCATCGCTGGTGGCATGACAGGTGAAGTGTAGAGGCTGAACTTCCAACAGTCCCTTCATGTGATGATTGGCTGTTAAGCTCCTCAGTTGGCTATGTGATGTAGAACTTCTTCCTTCACCAGTGCATTTAGCTAGAACCAAGAAACCTTAGTTTTAATTGATTGCATTAAACAACGACATCAGATTATCATAATATGTGGTTTCTGTCAAGAATCTTGAATTACATTAAGTTACGAATTCAATATATCAATTTAGTTCCAGGATGATCAAAGAAGAACTAATTTAAATAGTATAATATAGTTAAGAATAGTTTGAGGACGGCTTCAAAGTAGTGCTTGCAAGCGGAGGTTGTGTTGTGTTTTCAAACTTTTGTGAGAGCTGTTCCTATATAAAGGTCTCTATCGTAGACAAGCAAGCTAGATCAAATCTGAGACTAAGGTCGTTTTCCTTACCTCATCCACTACTATTCTGGCTGGTTTCAACCCCTGTGAGATTAAAATCGTCATTCGTCATAGTATTAAACAAAATTGTGGAAGAAAATTGGCACTCTTGCAAACCATGAACGTTTTCTATAAGTCAGAAGTCAATCTCAGTTGATGACAGTTGAAAGTTGACAGATGTGTATACAGAAAGGGGTTTTGACTTGGAAAATTTGCTTATGATTGTTTTCTTAGATTGGTATACTGGAATGACATACTGAGGATCTGGCTGTTATGAAGGATAGGCTTTTATTTCTAAGCAGAGTGGTAAATTCACCTAACAATAACACCAATGTTGATCTCAATATTAAGTATAAAAATATGAAAAAGTGTTATATATCCGCTATAAAAAGTGCTAAATTGGCAAAACGTTAAGTATATAGAAAAAAGTAAAAATAAGTGCAAAGCTGCATGGAACATTATTAAAAAATATACAGAGCCCAAAAACACTTCTGTGACTCAAATTGAGTCTGAAACCTTTAATAGTTATTTTATCAACTGTGTTGATGAAATTAAAAAGGAAATTGGGAATAACCCTAATATAAATAGTCAATCAAGCTCTAAGTTTCTAAACAGAAGAAACATTGACAGTCTCATCACCTTCTCTTGGCAGCAAATCACACCTAGAGATGTCTTTAACGCAGCTAAAAAGATGAATAGATCAGATAGTCGTGACATTTATAATTTATCAAACAATTTATTGAAAAACATAGTACATAGTTTGGCAGAGCCTCTTGCCTACTGTATAAACTGCCTGTTAAATAAAGGGATTTTTCCAAATATTCTTAAAATTTCTAGAGTCCGTCCCATCTACAAAAGAGGTCCAAAAGACCAGCCAAACAGTTATCGACCAGTATCGGTCATACCTGTTATTGGAAAACTAATAGAAATATTAATTTATGATCAAATTTATACTTTTTTAGAAAACAACAATATATTGAGTAATCATCAGTTTGGTTTTAGAAGGAATAAATCCACGGTTGATAGCTTAATAAGAAAAATAATATCGGCATTTGAAAATAAAGATTTAGCTCAGGTCACATTATGCGACCTTAGCAAAGCATTTGATTGCGTGGATCAAGATAAATTAAACACAAAATTAAATTATTATGGATTCCGAGGGGTAACACTAGATTTCTTTCAATCATATCTTAGTAATCGGAAGCAAACTGTGCTGGTTAATGGACAATGGTCAAATGAGGTTACAGTAAGATCTTGGGATGTTTGTTTATAAGATCAGGGGCGTTCCACAGGGTTCAGTCCTAGGGCCTCTCCTTTTTCTAATTTATGTAAATGACTTACCATTTGCGGTAGATTCTAATATTACACTTTATGCAGATGATACAACCTTCTTTAATTCTAATAAAAATATTAATGATCTAATTAAATTAGTCACAAAAACAATGTCTCAGGCTTCTGATTGGTTTCAATGCAATGGACTTTTGCTCAACACAGATAAAACACAAAATTTGCTTTTTAGTTTAAAAAACAACCCAAATAATTTTTATCTTGATTTAGTCACAAATGCTAAATTCCTAGGTATTTATTTAGACAATCATTTAACTTGGAGCTCACATATAGATTACATTAGTAAGAGACTATCAAGAGTAATATATCTTATGAGACGCCTTATAAACATTATTCCTAAAAATTACATCAGAAGTGCGTACTTTTCCATTTTTGAATCTATCATTTGATACGGTTTAATACTGTGGGGAAACTGCTCAGGAATTCAGGACATTTTACTGCTCCAAAAGAAGGTGATTAGAATTATGGCTGGAGTACATTTTAGGGAACATTGCAAACCACTTTTTAGGCAGCTTCAGATTTTAATCGTCATAGACTTATATATTTTTGAAATTGCAGTTTATATATTGAAAAACTCTCATCTATTAAAATTCAAAGACAAAATTCATAATTATAATACCCGAAACAAAACTAAAGCAGTGATTCAATATTGTCGCTTAACTAAATCGTTGGATAGCCATGTGGTGATATCTTTAAAAATTTACAATATCTTTGAGCCTATGATTAGAAAATATTCAATAAATCAATTTAAAAACAAACTCTATAATTGGTTACTAGATAGCCCATTTTATACATTAGATGACTTTTAAAAAATTGGTGAAATCAAATTTTAACATAATGTAATCTTTGCACTTATTTTATTTTATTATTATTATTATTATTATTATTATTTTATGTTATTACTATTATCTTTTAATATTGTTATATTGTATTTTACATGAGATTTTTAGAGGTATTTAAAATTTAGTTTCTTAAAAGATTTACACAAATTTGTCTAACTTCTTTGATTGCTTGACAAAAAAAAAAACTTGAACAAATTTTTGTTTGTATTTAATTGCTGTTGTTGGAATTTAACTATTCCTAATTAATATTATTTCATTATTTTTTTCTTTTTTTCCCTTCATTTTAAGACATTTACTAAGCTCTCAAATGTTTTTATGTTTTATTAATAGATAGCGTAAAAGAAAAAAAGTTAAGTTAATTTATCATTTTAATTTTTACATCCTCTAGATACTTAATCCTATACTATTGTAGATGTGTAGTATGTATGTATATGACGTAGGCCTATACATAGGCTGATGTGTTGACTTTGTCAATGATTTGTAAAAATCCAAAAGACAAATAAATGATATGATTTGATTTGATTTGATTTATGGAGTTTGCAGAAGGGGCTGTGCACATTTGCACATCAGGGCCAGTAGGGGATGTTCAACAGTTTTCATCGAGCTAACGATTTAATTTGAGGAAACTTTGATTGCTGATTGACATGTTTCAGACTCCCAAGATTATTTATAGTTCTTGACAGTCTTATAGAAATGGCCTTTATTAGTTCGACAATCCCACTCTTCACTCCCTGATCCTCATGGATCCAAGCAAGTCTGATGGACAACAACAGCTTGCAGGCTTGCAGCATGGAAAACGTGGTGGAGATTTAAGATGACCTTTTAACTCCCTCCACCCTTGTGCAGATATCATACATTCATACAATTTACTCCATCCATGTATGTCAATTGGCGAATGGACTTTAATTGCAGTTGACAACAGAAACTACAGAAATCTACAGACTGTGATTTATACTTGGTGTAAATTTTTTTTACAATGTTTTTGGATACTATGTCGAAACTAATCGTCCCACAGGAGTGCTAGAATAGTAGTGGATGAAGTGTTGAACACGACATTGGTCTCAGATTTGTTCTAGCTTGCTTAGCTGTGATGGTAGCTCAATGAAGACGGACAGCCCTAATGTTCTTTTTATAAAAGTGTCTACCAAATTCAACATGAGTAGGACAAAAACCTACAGTGTTATTAGAAATTTCCTATTAAAAAACTGTCCATACAAAGATTGCATATTTAAAATTTCTCTCATCCGTGATAAGGTATAGCAGTTAGTTGTTCATAAGAAAGAACTTAAATTAAAATCTAAAGCAGTCACTGAAACATGGTTTAGAAACTTTGACAACCTACATCTAGGAACATTGAGATTACTACTATTTCTAGTCACATAATGATTTTTTGAACTTGTAAATGATTTGACTTAATGCTAAAGATAAACATTTATATATATGTACAAGTTGGTGACTGTACAAATCTGGAATTCTTTAAGAAAGATATAAAAGGGTTAAAATACCTGCTGTTAGGCAATCCTTTCAAATTGCAAACACAACTAGTTTCAGCTCCTACATGGAACTCAGGCATCAGGCGGTACTAAGGACGTTTTCTTTCACAATATGAAGAGTGTCACATTATAAACAAATTTAAAAAAAACATTTTAAGATGACACACACATCTATATGGCACATTTATGGTAACTGATCACTGATCAGTTTACGTAGTATGGTGGTAGGATTGGTGTCGTCTGTTATCATAACTGATCAGTTACCATAAATAATGTGTCGTATATGTTGTAATGGACAAATTGTAATAGGGGTGTGTTTTCGTTATTATAAAGCCTGCGCGGCTTGAGTGTGTTCGTTACAACAATGACCCGCGTAACAGTGGACATGTCACCGCCCTTGTTCGAGACTCGGTTGCTGCCACCTCAGAGTGCTAGAGTAGTGGTGGCAAGTGAAGGCAGGCACAACCAGTCTGCTAGTCAGTCAGCGTTAAGCGTTAAGTTCGCAGACAGCCTCTCTTGAGACTATGCGTTAGGGTGTAGGCTATACGTAAGCGAGCGATAAAAAAAAAGTCAAATCAATATTGAGACACGTAGGTACCTTATTAGTACACCATTATAGATAGCGTCTACATTCATGACATTTTTCACTTCGACTTCTTGGCGAGTAAATTAATTTGTTTGTTACTGTCCTACCTCGTTAAGAACTTAGTAAATAATATAACGCCCGATGCTGCGACAGCAGCGTTACAGAACACCGTTTTAGTTTGTTTTATCAGAAGCAATTATTTAGTAATATCGAAGCCGAGAAGTATATCGGCGTACAAGCGAGTAATTATTTTATTTTGTCTATTTAATTATTTTACTTTCACTTTATTTTCATTCACGAGAGGTTTATTTATAGTTGTTTTCAGGAGTTATTGTTTGGTTAAGCCACCACAGGTCACGTATTTTCAATTAGAATCGACATGTTATTTCGTCTGTGTTTCACTGTGCTGGCACTGTGTTGCCGTGCAATATAGTTGTAATTGATGTCTGGCGTGTCTATGTGCCGACCTACAACAGTAGTCATCTTAAGGCCAAGCGGTAGTAGCAAAGCAACGGAGATAAAGTCAAGCAAACCCTGAACGTCTCGAGTTATCCGAGTAAACCTAACCCAAACAAACACTACAATGTGTGTGCGTGTGTGTGTCTGTGTGTGTAGTCTTTATAGTTTTATTTTTACCTAATTTAAATGTGACACTCTTCATAAGAATAAAGAAAACGTCCTTTGTACCGCCTGATGATATAGGTCCATTGTAGGAGCTGGGACTAGTTGAGTTTGCGATTTGAATGGATTGCCTACAAGCAAGTTTTTAAACCTATTTTATACTATCCGGATACTAACATCTACAATGAACAATAAAGAAAAGCATACAATGCTCCAAGGGTTCTACTCTTAAACTAATAACATGAGATATGTTATAGGGTTATATAGGATCATAGGGTTATAGTTCTTCTCACAGAAGGTGAATGGTCCCATAAAGCAATTGTGATACCCATACCTTTAATATTGAGTAAGTCACGGAGGTCATCAGCTCCAGGGGGAGGGAGGGGAGTGCTACTGTTTACTGGCGGGGGGCCAGACGGGGCATTTACCACATCATTGGCCCACACAAAGTTGGTGCCTCCCATGGTGTAGATTAGGGGTGTGGGGGAGAACTTAGCTGGAGCGGGGGGCTCCTGATCAAACAACTCTGGTTCAAACGGAGTCCCACACAGTCCAAATCTGGAATACAATTTTATTTTAGATTTAATACTTTAAAATCCAGAAGTTTTACCATGAACAATTTGATTTGATTTAATCGTAATCAGATTTAGTAAATACAAATTGAGTTTTTACACACCTAGTATGTAGCAATAGATGAGACGGGTTCTGTCTAGCGTGCAAATGGCTCGCAACCTTTGTCAGCATGCCTAGAGCTTTGTGTGCCACTGATGCGATGGAGTCCACAGTCACCATACGAGTGAGCAGAGAGAAGTACCAGCGCATGGCAGCTGCTGACCAACATTGAGGAACAGTAGGCAATGTCTCGAGCAGTATTCTCACAAGACATGAGTCAAACTGTCCACTCACAGACTCGTCTGCATTCCTCATGCCACTGAAACCAACCTTGGTATAAAAAATACATTTGAGTGATATTTATATTTAGGTTTCTTAGATTGTGTAATAGTGCTTAAAACACAATTAACCTGGAACATGGTCATCTGAGTGAATATAAAAAAGAGGAATGATTAGCTCTGAACAGAGCTTATGAAAAATGGGAACAACAGTTATGTTACCAAGTGTCAGTTGAAAAGAGCCATTTTCCCAGAGGTGTAAGATGTTGTTGTATGTCCACGTGCCCATTGTTGAGATTATTGATCAGTAGATTGGAAACAAGCCACCAATTATACGACCCCGCTTATAAGTGGTGATAAGCTCCAGGTATCATAGAGATAAGAGGACAGTTGTGAGAAGTAGGCCTAGGTCAGTGAGTTGGAGTCTAGAGAGACGGTGAGACAAGTGTGTTGCAGTGCAAGGTGTGCGTGTGTGACGAGTGCATCCAAGTCAGAGTTTGAATAAAGATGGGTTGAGTGACATCCTTTTATTATTCCAGATGAGATGTAAGAGATAATATCTAGTATGGATCTGCGGGTCAGACTTTTTTGGTTCGGGTTGGGTCGGGTCGGGCCAAAATTCATTAGTTAGCAGATGTTTTGTTTGTTTTAACTTCTATCTGTGTTTATAGTCATATATATTAAAACGTGACAGGGTTTTTAGCGAATTTCCCATACAGGGAATAAGCTATTACCGTAGTACTCATGGTAAGACCTGGACCCGGGACCGATTTAATTTTTCGTTTTGAGGTCCCTAGAGGCCAAAAACACCATCCGTTCAAATTTATATATATATATATATATATGTGTCCGTCAGCACGATAACTCGATTATTACGCAAAAATTATCCGATTTTGATTAAATTTGGTACAAACGTGTAAACCTACATTTATTCGAACGAGTTCGCGAAGCAGCATAATCGGACCATGTGAACGGGGGCTTATGGGGGAATTTATGGGGTAAAAATGGGGTACCCTAAAAACAAACAAATTTGCAATTTCTTTCTAAACTGTTTTGTAGAGCTTAAAAAAAGAAATAATTTAGTATATTGATGCGCTGTTGTATGCCTAACGGTTACGGAGAAAATTAAAAAATAGTGAAAATTAAAATTCCCATGTTATTCTTATGGAGAAAATGAAAACTGTTGTAGTTTACTTGTTTATGGGTATATATTGATAAAATTTAGCAAACTTATTTATTTCATCTATATAAATAAAATTAGAGTTTTGTCTGTACATTGCTCAGAATTATATATTTTTAGGTTATTTTTACGTTTTATACATTAAAGAAGCAGAAACAAGTCTTATCTCTATCTCTATTTCTGTATGTCTGTCTTTTTGTCTGTCTGTAACATTCAAGATGGCATTTTACGCAATCTTCTCCATGAAAACGAGAGTACCTATCAAGATCCAAGTCATTTTAATGTATTCACTGGATTTGCGAGAGTGTCTTTAGCTATTAAAATATGACCTCACGACTTAATAAATAAAATTACGGACGTTCAAAAATGCAGTTTTGTGCGATTTTTGTAAAATTTTCGTACAATTTTTATCACATAATCATCTATGAAATAACGAACAGCTGTTCGGATCAAGATTATTTTTTCCTAGCTGTCACTGATATGTTTACAAATGTTGTTTACAAATACCGCAACCATTTCCAATCACGTTTTGAAAGCAAATCCCAACCAAGTGAGATTAAAACCGTTTTTCTTACATAACAGATTTAATTAATCGCAAGTGCAATATTATAGTGTAACCGTAAATGAAATTAAATAACTTAAGTCGGGACCATGAAAGTTTGCAGTTAGTGGCAGCCAAAGTGCAATATTATAGTGTAACCGTAAATGAAATTAAATAACTTAAGTCGGGACCATGTAAGTTTGCAGTTAGTGGCAGCCAATCACAAGACGAGGCTAGTGTGACGTTGCCACATCGCCCGTTGACAACACTAAAATATACTAAGCAATATTTTCAAATCAGCTGGTATTATTAGATTTGGCAACACCGCACAGTTCTCATTGGTTCATTCAAAACCATATGGTAAATAGGCTCCTCCCTCAACTGCAAACTTATGTGGTCCCGACTATAGGCATCATCCAGGTCAGGAACCAGAAATTCTTTGTGTATAAAATTGTTCTTGAGTTTTGATAACCAGAAAAAAGACCTTGAATCAGTGTTGTATAGGGCTGGGTGGGACACTTAAAGATCGTCGCCAATAGCTTACAAACAAGGTTTACACTCATTGACGGCGCTTCAATGGCGATTGTGTAAAGTATAAAGTAAAAAAATCACAACTGCAGTGGGTGATTGTAACAGAGGTTTTCGGATGATGCTAAACTCGCTTTTCCAATGTGTCACTTTCTGATTCTACTCACCGTGTGATGCAATCGCTGGACCATACAGCCAATAGGCCCATAGCCCATCTCTTGGGTACGTACGCCTACCTATTTATTCAACCTTTTCGACGACGATCCTTGATACCGGTACTTTTCCATGGAATACATGGCCTAGGTACCTACTTAAGAAATAAAATTTTAAATGTCCAAAAACCCAACATTGTGTGATTTTTGCCACATTCAACTGACTACTATAAGATCCCCGTGCGTAGAACGGGCACACAGCTAGTCCTATACTATTGACGTATGGTCCAAAAACACTTTTTACCTTCCCCGTAGCAGCAAACCTAAGCACTCGTTAAATCTAATGTTATTTGAATAAATATGTCTTATTTATGGAAATATTTTAGTAGAAATGTAATCAGACAAGTTGAAATTTGCTTAGTCTGCAGGTTTGCTGCGGCGGGGGTATTTTTTATTTCACGATTCTGAATCAACCACTTGACGGATTTTCATGATTTTTGTGTTGAAAGAAAGATAATGCTAATCATTGATACGTTCAATTCTTCCTTAAGAGGATGACAGATTAATTAAATATACATAGTAAAATACTTGGATGTTCAAATTATTTTTAAAGCAATCTTTGTAATCTTTGATTTGTTTTATTGCAATATAATTTTGTTTAACTAACAGCTGGTTTAATATAAAAATATTCAATAGAAATATGAAGTTTTTTATTTACTCTCGTTTTGTCATTGATTATAGGAAATAAGTAAGATAAGTAGAGATAATTAGACCACAGAGATAAGTAAGACCATTGCTGTATACAAATCGAGGCTCTGTACACAAGTCTTAATAGAAAAGGATATGCAAATTATTTGATTGTTTGACTTTTTTAGCAAAGAGTAGAAAAATAACAATGTTTACATGTTTTAATTCATCTTGGTAGCTTTTTGTTTACAATTAATGTTTGTCTGCTTAAACTTTGTTTGGATTAGGCCCGGAAATATTGATGTCATAATAAAGGAGATCAAGAATAATCAGGAATCATGATTTTAAATTACCACAACCTCAGCCGGATTTTATCCAAAGATAAACAGATGGATGATGGTTAGACTTTGCCATAAATGATTTATTAAGTCATATGTTTCTAATTATTAAAATGTGTTTGTGTTTACATTTAAAAATGTAAATACAATATGAGTTGTGAGTGAGTAAAACAATTTAAAACAGTCCACTTTTATTCTGAGTAAAATCAATATTTCATTAGATGACTTAGATTGTACACAACCTCAACATTGACCTGGTATACTGAAATTAATTAATTGAATTGAATTAATGAATTGTGAATTTTATTGGATATTATCGTTTTATTTTAGGTAGTTTCTATTCAGACCTACTGAAGTTGGTACTGGAGTTTCTACAAGACATCGCTTGCGTCATCCATTTCACTGACAGCAACATCTGACACTGGGTGATAAGGTAGTGGTGTGAGAGTGTGATACATTGAAATTTCGATTCGATGCATCAAGTCCCGATTCGATCCATCAGTTCTAAAAAGCAATGTGTCGATTATCATCATTGATACCACCGATACTTGGACATTGATATCGGTACCAAGACTCGATTGTCTAATGTCGATTCCGATGATACCGACACCCGACAGGGATAAATATTTTATTTTAACATTTATTTACTTTATAGCTACAGTATTAGTTTTGTAATCACGGTTAACAATTTTCATAAGCTATCTGGTTCAAAACAGCGACGGTGCCGGTGACATTCTTTAGCTTCAGCTCATTGCACAACACAATCTACATTTCAAGATGTCAGACTCAACTCAAGAGACAACCGGCGCGCGAATGTCCTGCCAACACGAAATTAATTATACTAAACAATGTCTGTATCAATAAGTCAGACATTTAGATGTATTATTTTTATTTTTAGTACAAAATAATTAACCTTAACAACGTCAAAATGTTCAATTTCATCCCTGCATTATACGCATCATTAGAAAAATTATATTCCACCATAAAACTTTGACATCGTCATCGTCGTATGGTTAGGCTTGCTTTATATTGCGCCAAAAAGTAGATCCATATTTTATCTGTACTATCTACCTGATTAAAGAGTTAAGTGAAGTTTTAAGTGCTACTATAACATAATATATATTTATTGAAAAATATCATAAGCCTTAGTCCATGTTGATTTTGTAATGTTGTAACGAATAACGAATGTTGACAGTAAAAGTATGTAACAACAGTTCTCATTGGTCAGGAGGCGTCAATGCACTACCATGTCAGCCAATCGACTTTCATGTTTCAATGGAGCAAATGACGATTGCTATGACATTGTTTTATGTGCTTATTGTGGGTGGGAAGGGTATTGATAAATATCATGATTCGAGATCCGATATGTAGGACGTGTTTGTTTATAAATAATGAATTTGAAGTATAAAAAACTAGGTTACAGACAGGTTCAAAACATTGATTGTTCCGATCCATTGTTGACACCCCTACACGGAGGTTATACTGACGTCGTGCATAAGGGCCAGGCCGGCCGGTTCACAGTGAATCCACTCTGCCGAACCTTGCTCTTTCGGGCTTCGCACTGATAACCACTCAGTTCATTCATTCAAGTAGAGAAGAGTTTTTGTGGCAGTGACGTAAGTCTCTTGTCTACTCTTCATAGCTCACACATAGACTTCTTTCGAGAAATTGTAAGTGATAATCTTTATTAAAAATAAGTGAAAAACTGTTGACATTTTCAAGGAAAAAAGCTAAGAAATAAAAGTGTTTCATTTAATTTCATTTCATTTTAGTTAATGCAGCTTTTGTGATTTTACCTATTAAATATCATAGTTACTCTTATCACTTACCCATGATAAAGTTTGTTGACAAGCTAATAGGAGAAAGTATGTGTCAGATTGCTGATATCGTTTATTTGTATTGCTGAAGATAATACATATATCATAGGATGTAACAAATATCTCCCTAGCCAGATCGTAGAATTTTGTAATAGTCATGCCTACTAATCTTTTTGGTTTTTGACGAATACGCCTCGCTTATTTTCTGTACCTTAATATCTAGTTTTTTTATCACAAATTCTTTGAATTTAAAATAAATATATGGGATGGAGAGGACACAGCTAACTCACCTGATGAAAGGTTTCAGACGAGTCAAAGAACACATAAAACACACACATAATAATACTTGATATTTCGCCTCTTTCAGAGGCTTCTGAACTGCCATCTAGGCCTACCTACTTCTGAAGAAGCCTCTGAAAGAGGCGAAATATCAAGTATTATTATGTGTGTGTTTTATGTGTTCTTTGACTCGTCTGCAACCTTTCATCAGGTGAGTTAGCTGTGTCCTCTCCATCCTATAAATTTATTCAATCCAAGCTAAATGCTTTTTCCTAAAAACATAACCTTGAATTTAAAATAAAAAGTCTGTTAGAGTGAATGTACATACTCGCTGCAGAGAATGATGAGTTTTACACATTTGCGTGCAATGGTGCGATCGCCGCGTATGAAGCAGCTGGTGATGAGATGAGGCAGGTGTTGCTGTATGATGTTGATCATGGCCACCTGGTGGCTGGGTACGGGCCGCAGCCGGGACAGTCGTATGGCGGCTAGCCACACTAGGATGTCCAAAGCCATGTTCTGATGTACATTGCTGCCTTCACCTGTCACCAGGGACAACAGATGTTCTACTAACACATCAGACTCCAACATGGCACATCTCTCCAACCTGCAACAACACACAAATTATAATGTTCGGAAGAATTGTCTATTTTTTCATGCCATTCATTGAATTGAAACACTTTATGAATAGTTTGTTATCATAAGCTCTTGCTTTCTTCTTGTCCCACTGATCTTTCAGTATCTTGACACAAAAATTAAGCTTAGATTGTGTAGATTTTCCTTAAATTATTGGTATGAATTAATTACCTCTGCTCCACAGGCTGATTTCGTAAGGACTCTGCCTTACATGGTTTTAAAGTTTACAATATTTATTTAATTAATTGTATTATATTATTACCAGCTGGTTGATCCAACTAGCAGCAGTTTCTTTATTCACATTTTTCTTTGCTTATTTATCTAATTTTTCCCCTGTTAAAAGCAATGCGGTAAATTAAAATTAATGAATGCTATTTCTAGCCATTGGATAAAATTGAATGCATTAAAGTTTAAAAAGACAATAGATGTGAAATAAACAAAAAATGTCTGTTGGTTGTACAATAGGTTGTCACCTGTAGCATATCATTTCATATAGTACTCAGCTGAATATGATCATTATACATATCATTTCATATAGTACTCAGCTGAATATGATCATTATAATTTCAATGTATCATAATGGTAATTTGACTTAATGTCACCGTAGTCCGATCATCATGCCACCCTCAACAAATCAATTGGAACACAGCCTGATCAAGCGATGCTTTCCCAGTCCTTCTTAAGTCTACCAGTGAGCTCCTGCGATTTTACCTAACTCTCGTCTGAAACGGCCGCAGCATGTAACTAATTGTGTTCACATTTAGTCCCTGGTAATCTAATACTACATACATTAAATTTTGGCGAGGAGGCAATGGAATTCACATTTTGGGCGAGTGGAAGGGCTGTCGCGTGTGTGCAATAAACTTACCACCAATATTGGAAAGACAGTCGTGATCGTGTCTTTGCGGGACAGTTGTGTGAGATCGAGATGACAGTGAAAGTGGACAATAATAGGGCAAAAGGGGAGGTAGGAATTCACCATCCTTGATGAATATAAAGAGGAAATTCGGTGAGTCGTTAAACAAAGCCTTCTAAAGAAATCAACCTCTCTCAAGCCTATCAGCAGGTGTGTTAGGACGAGCAGTTACAAAAGTTGTGTATTTTAATAAGTACAACAAAAGGGCTAATCAATTATTACAGAGAACTCTACAGTGCGGCGTGAGCACCAAGTATTTTTTTTAAAGATTATGGAAACTATTGTTGTGTGTATTCCAGGGGTAGTTTTTTTGATGATATTTTGACTACAGGTGAGAACAATGAGGTCCATAGAAAGAAAATAAATTAAGTGTGTAGTAGAGTAAGAGCCAACGAGTTGACAGTAGTGAGTAAAAAGATATCTGAGTTCTTTTGTAAATCAATTGAGTATCTAGGTTAGCCTTCTAGGCATGAGTTTAGAATGAGGATAATTAACTGTACTGTATATCATTATTGGCACTGCACCAGGAAAGATAGTGTAAAATAAAATACTTTTACTCATAAATAAATCAATTAAAAACTTTAAGACATTATTTTACCCATAAAAACTCAAATAAAATAACAAATATTTGTCAATTTGGTTACAGTAGTAATTTCCTTGAGAAACATTAAAAACAAACTGATCTTAACAGCAAATACATCTTATCAGTCGTGGCAACTACAGACTACAAAGTTATGTCTGTTATCTGAGCTGGACTACATAAACTGACAACAATCTTATTGCTACTAACTACTTGTAAAGTCAAGTTATTTATGTCTATTATAATTAATTTTTAACCTCTCATTAGGTATGTCTATCTGTTTCGTCTTCCTGATAGTAATAGAGATTTCATGCAGCCAGTCACACCCAACGTGCTCCTTTTTCTGGTTTGAAACACTGCTGGCTAGCCTATCGACTGTACTGCCAGGTGTTAACACTAGTCCATTATACTCCCAGAAGGCTCCTCCAGGGCCGTATCTTGACTTCTTGTCTCCATCTTGCCCAATCTGTTAAAATTATACATATTCAATTAGATTCAAATCAAACAACTATCATTGTTAGATATAGACTTTACACTCAAAATTTATAAAATATATTGAACAAATGAACTTTGTATTAATTTATACTCTAATCTCTTGAAATATAGCCAGAGCTTGAGTTTTGAATTTTAGGTACCTAAGCTGAAACCTCACTAGTGCTTAGAGTCCTCTAGTTTGTCCTTCCCCAAAGCAAGACAGTGAAAAGCAGCCATTGTCGGAGTTCTAAACCCCGTTATTGCGGGTGGTAGAATTAAGTCTTAGGAGAATCCTGGTTTGAACAACCATGAAGAGCAGTAATTTAAATTTATTTAACCATAGAAATATCTATAAGGTCTCAAAGACACTGTAGGAATTCTTTAAATTTTATTTTGAGCAAATAAATTAACACACGAACCTTCACTTACCAACCATAACCTTTTGCTAAATAATTTTAAGTGCAACACAAGTAGTTTTATCAAATTGGCCAGGATAGAATACTCTGCTACCCTAAAGAGGCGATCTAAAAGTTAGGCAAAATTTCAAAAACACTTTAACGAAGGTGAGGATGATATAGCTTCTCCTGAGCACTTCTAGAGTTCTGTAGGCCTAGCCTATCTTTGTGAATATAACTTTATTCTCCCTGTTATAAAATGTTCCTTTAAAGTTGTCTTTCTTTCTACTAGCTTAGTACATTTAATCAAGTCACATGTTATAAGTCATATGTTTGTTTTAATATTGTTATTCTTAAAAACAAACATAAGTTAAATGAATTTAAGTAAGAAAATAAAAAAGCTTGTGTTACTTTAAAAGTGGTTATAATATTATAATTATTTTTAAGAAAATCACATATTTGAGAGGCACGTTTTTACATTTGGCGACCCTGAACCAGAATTACTAACCTGATCAAACTAAATCAAGGGTTAAATTCAATATTACATGGTAAACTAGATGTCTTACGACTTTATGAGATTTTGGTTTCAAATAATGCAATAAGTACATTACAGTTTATAAGAAAACTTGGAAATTTACAAAATAAAACACATATTTATTTAAATACCGAGACTTATCTTTGTTATAGTTTTATTATTCCAAACTAGCCTGATTAATAAAATAGTGAAAACAATACAGTTACAATTCAGCAACAGGTTTTGGAATTAAAAGACAAACAAAAAAGTCTTACAAAAGCAATATCCAGTTTAGACACTCTTAAGACTTTTTTTATTTCTCACTAATTCTCCATTAAAATATTCATTCAAATATTTCTTATGGAATTGCTCTTTATGGAGCAACAAAAAAAACTCATTTACAGAGGTAGAATTTATTTTGTTGGTTTGCTCACCGCTGAGGTGCCGCTGGCCAGGTTCTTGATGTGCACCAGCAGTGTGCGGCCTCTGAACTTGAACAGCTTGGGGCTGGTGAAGGTGACAGTGCCTCCCTGATCTGATAGGTCCAAACATGACGCTAGACTCACAGGGCCACACAGGATTTCTGTGTTGTGTGCTCTAGCAAACTGCTCTGTTGTCACCGGGTTCACTGACACTCCTAGCACCAAGTATATCAGTATATCAGTGCTTCCACAACTAATTGCTGAGAATAGCTTTTTCAAGTATTGATCAGATCACAGATTAAATTAAATGTTTGGACCGGTTGTAGAATGAATAAAAAACAACCCTCAGATACTCAGACAAACATTAAGTGATATATAAAGGTGTGCAGATGTGATGGATAGAGGTGTGCAGATACCCAAAAAACCGGGTCGGATTGGGTTCGGTCCGGAAATCCGTATCCGAACCAAGCCCTAATTTGATATCCGACAATATCCGTTACATATCCGACTTTTTCGGATAGACTATATGTATTTTGACATTTGTGACTTGTATCATGATTATAAGGCATTCACTGGGACCATTGCCTTGCCATATAAATAGTTTGCATCAACATACAAGGTATAGACTGAGACATTGTCTTGTCATATAAATTGTTTGCATCAAGATATAGGGTATACATTTTTGTTAAGAGGCCTTGGAGACTAGCGGCCATTTTGGACAATTTCAAACAGCTGCTGAAGAGTTAAAATTATCATCCAAAAATAGTTTTTCAAACACCAAAGTGATTATAATTTAAAGATCTTTTTTATACTATGTAGAGGTGTGCGAATATTCAAAATTTCGAATCGAATCGAATATTAAAACTACTATTCGATTCGATTTGTTCTATCTGCAATATTCGATTTTTTGAATAGTTCGACGGTGGTCGAATAGTTCGGACCTTTTCGAATACTTCGCATCTGGTCACATAATTAGTTGGAGCTTTGGAAAGCATAAAACAAATCAAGTTGGCCAAAAAAGTGTTTCAAGTAATTAATAAAAATTACCATCGGGCTAAAATATGAATATAGATATACCACGAACAAAACAACCTGCGCAGAAACGAAAAGATCACGTGGTTCGCGCAGGTAGGTGGGCCGTACCATTGAAACCTGCGCGGCTCGAAACGGCCGAGGGTTCTTTTGTTTCTGGTATTACTATAGTAATCAGTTTCTATCCACTATCGAGTGACAACGTTTCATTTTCAACTATTGTGTAATCGTGTCGCGAGTTTCCGATGAAATAATGTCCTCCGCCATTAAACAAATAAACAAGGTCAGTAAAATAGTTCCGTTCTAACTTGTGTAACGTTTGGATGTCAGAGAGTAGGCTGACACTTTCATACATGCATCAGAACAAAAGATCAGTTATTTGTTTCTATCACGTTGGCTAACCTGATCAACGCTTCATCACGGCAAGCTCCCGAGGAAGCCTTCTTTTTGATGATGTTCTCCATAAAAAGCAGACTCAACTATCTGACCCACTAATTGTGGTAAGTTTATTATTTATTGAACACTATAGGACTAAATATTTTCTCTCAGGATAAACTAGAAGTCATCCTTCAATGGTTTTTACAAGAATTGAATATCAGGCTTACAAGAAATCTATGGAAATAGTCAATTTCACAACTTTGCTTCAGACTAGGCTTGAGTCAGCGTACCAGACCAAAGTATATAAACTGCAAGTTTTATTCAAGATTTAGTATGAATTATATTTGTTAACAGCTACCGTATTGAAGAAAGTATTTACACAACTTCTGAGATGCAGTTGGATATTCAAATAACAAGATTTACCAATTTAAACCTATCACCTGAAAACGTGCATAGTCTAATTTTGTTCTGTCTAAGCCTGTAGATTTTTGGTAACAAACTATTTCAGTTTGGTTTTTTAAGGTCTATTTCGGACCAACACCTAAATTTAACGTAAGAATTAAACTCTCTTTGACACACAAAAGTGATACCAGCTCCATTCAAGTAAAAAAAAATATATTAAAAAATGTATCTTTATCTGATAGAATAAATTGGGCTAGGGCCTATCACATGTCTTCAATCAGCTAAGTTAAGTGTAAGGTATAATAATTCGATTAATTCCTTTTGTCCTAGTTTGAAACATTCCATTTCTATATAAATATTTGCCAGATTTTGTATAAATTTATTGTTCAAAGAATTTCGAGTTTAAAATGTATTTCGTTAACATGCTATGTCAAACAATTCCGCTCACCCTATCAATTAATTTTGTAAAATCAATTTATATTTTATTGTCCAAAAATAATTGATCAAAATGGTCATAAATTTGTGTAAATGATATTTTATGTCTGTTTTAATGGAAATTTATGTCAACTGAATCAAAATTCACTTCGGTTAGGTTAGGTTAGTGAAAATTTTATTAGTTAGTAGCTACAAACAAATTGAATTGTTTAAAGGGTTTTTCCACCCGATTCACGCTGATCTGTTGATGGTGCTGTCTACTCCCACCTTGTTTCGTTGCTGCGCCAATGTTCCATGGGGCCCCGATAACGACACCTTGCATGGGTGCTCAGCTTCGAAGCCATGACACCTTCGTTCGTCGCCTCGACTACTAAAAGGGAAGTGACCTACTTATGTCTTCTGTCCAAATTTCTTATTATTCTTTGATAACTTATTTAGTCTAGGTCTAGTGAAGAAATTTAAGTTCAGAAAAATTAACTTAAAAGAGAGCTCTCAATCCCAAAGTCATGACAAATTAAACCAATGAACATTTTGATATTTTCGTAAAACCGTCGACCGACATTGAGTGAACCCCGGAAGGACTACATAGTGCCATCGGACACTACCCACCTGCAGTGGAAATCTTTTTATTTCTTTGGATTCAAGAATTCTAGTAATATGCCATTGTTTTTAGCTTTAAGTAGTGTATTTTATTTTATTTGAATTCTTTTGATTGTCTGTGACATTTGGCCAACCAAATTTGAAATTATTTTTGATCTCATGCAAAAAAGGTAGGCCTAGCCTAACCTGAAATTAGATCTGTTTTGAGAAATAACTCAACTAAAGTAAAGTAATCCATTTTGATTTGTGCCTTAAATAATTGAATCAGTGCCTATTATTAATTTTAGAACTTGTTTATATTTAACTTAAAACTTGCTGATATTTAGACTTATTGATTTTAGAACTTGATATACCGTTTAGGACTGCGTTTGAAGTCTGATTTTGAATATTGTGTAGGCCTATAAATCATTATGTTAAACTAAGTTGTTAGATTTTAAATTTGAATATTGTCTGAATTCATATTTGAAACCTTGTTGATCAACTGATAATTTGCAAATTTTGTAGGCTATAACTTGTCATTTTAATACTTGCTTGTATTAATTGTTGTTGATTTATTTGATTTCAGCTTTTGAAGTAGGAGCAACATTACGCTCATGAAGGATCAATGCAGATGAAACATCTTCAAGTTTCTTGCTCTCGTTTGCCTTCATAAGTAAGTAGCTAGACTTGAACGATTCAAAACGCTTCGGCAAAATGTGTAACACTTTTGACACAAACAGGAGCTCAAGAAAATCTTCGACTGTTTGGATGTTACGCGTTTTGAGGCCAGCTGCAAATTCGCGGTTTTGATTCTTCAACCTTGAAAGCACGGTCGGGGCATCCTCGCTATCATCCCATTCCATACTGAAGAAATCCAAACACTGACGAAACAACTGATCTTCTGCTTTGTTATCGAACTGCTCGATCAAAATGTCCCACGCTTCCTTAGCTGATAATCTTCCGGAAATACGTTGATGTAGATCATCACTAACGCACTGAGAAATAACTATTTTTGCCTGAGTCGTGGATTTGTTGAATTTCTGAAGTTCTTCCTTTTCGGCTTTAGTCGGAGGCTCAGAGAGGGTAGGCTTTTCTCTCTTTCCCTCGACGATATCAACCGCGTCGAACAACTCTAGAACGTCCAACACTCGATCTTTCCACGTCGGCCAATCTTCTGCTCCTTTCAATGGTTTTATACCTTTCACGTATTCCATTTGTAGAGCTGGACGAACTCGATCGAAAGATATACCAATTGAGACAGAAAAATAAGTCAGTATAAATTGTTCTTACCGTTTACGTAGTAGACTAGATTTCCCAACACTGTTATGTACATAAAACGATGCTGGCGACCATAACCTCTTGAATTATTCTCCCAAGTGGAGGTGTTTAGGGATAATCTAAGCAAAACTACGACGAAAAAACGAATTTAAAGTATAAAATAATCAAATGTATTTCTCATTAATGTTTTCATGACAAGGAACAATATTGGAGAAAACAGACAGCTGATAGTAAAAACAACATTCATATCATCTGTATGACTATTACAAATAAATAGAAAAGGCAGGCATTTTCAACAATATTTAATTAGAACTCACTTAGATATTTTATTTTATTATTTTTTAACATTATTAAACTCATTATGTGCTGCAAAACACTACGTTAGCATTCATCCGCCTTCATTGTTCTTGGCGATGGCGATCGGGTTCAAGTTACGTTTTGTTCTGGGATCACGTTAGACCTACATAAATCTAGCATACGACATTAATGTGTCTATTTCGAGTGAAGTAAAACTGAAAAAGTGATGGCGATCTTATACGTGGTACCAAAACGCGCACCGTCACCTTTATAAACTTGAAATATGATAAATACAAATGTTGTCTGCTAGATAGATTTGCCGTGATCCCAGAGTAAAACGTAATTCGCACTTGCTATGGAAGTATGCTTCTATTCTTCTGCTTTTCTAGCAGACAACAATTTCTGTTCTTTCTTTTTTCTATTGCATTAGCTCAAGCTGTGTTACAAGACAAGAAGTTTTGAGGTTGGAGTTTAGAGACAGTTTGTTTAGCACGTCTGCGCTAAGTATTTCAGCTAAACTTAGTAACAATTTTTGTATATTTTGACAACAGTTGCTTTTATACAGTTGGATATTGCCAAAAAGTTGTAGGCCTAGGCTTCATTTAAGTTTGGTTGAGTGACACAAGATGGATTCAGATGAAGAAGCCGATTTAGGCCTAAATGTGCCTTCAACATCATCACAAGAATTCAAAAATAAGTAAAGGAGTTTAATTTGGGATTTTTTTGTCAAAAAGGGCTCTGTTGCAGAATGCAACACATGTAAAAAGTCCTTAAAAGTAGGTTAAAAGTTAATAATTATACATTTCCTATGTAA